GATAAACGTGAAGAAGCTCGGCCCATATAATGTCGGATATATTCTACTCGAGGCAGTCCTGGCCTTCCTCTTGTGCTGTCTCAATACCTCCATGCTTTAAGAGGCCTGTTAAAGGTGGTGGTCAATAGTTAGGGCGTGTTTATATTAGTCGTGGAATTTGGTGTTATGTGCATTGTCAAGTTTACTGTCCACATGATAACCTGTTGCTGATATTGTACGTCAACCCAGATATTTCCCAATTTTTCTCCCAAGAATCAAAGAAAGAAAAAAAGGTCACAATGAGCGTATCATTGATCGCAAAGTGAATTGATGTTGTCCAATTCCTACTCATTGTAGTCCGAATCAGCAAGTGTCCTAAAACTATTCAGAGCTGTGGAGTGAAGTAGAAGAAAACAAGCAGAAGACAGGGCATATGCTTGACACCAAAAACAAGCTCAACCGCGGAAATCCAGGAAACGCAATTATCTTTTCCATAAGCTGTTCCTTTCTTGATACTGGTACCATATCGTCTTATTGTTTTTCTTCCAAGGACTGGCGACAATTGCTTGCACGAGACCACTCCTCCCGCAATCCCCTTTATTCTTCACTTCCACTCTTTGACTCTCCAGCTTAAGTGATGTTCATCTGTCCATCATGTCCCATTGGTTCTTGCTTTTCCTCTCCACTCCCTCCATGTCCTTCCTCAGTCCCTCCTCTCCTTCCTACCCTGCCCATTCATTCCCTTCGTTCCCACCCTTTCCATGTCATCAGTCGAGGAGCCGAAGATGCCACCTCAATACTAGGGGGCAACACAAATAACCATCGGCGGCGCACCCGGAGCCGGAGCCGGCGCAGCTCCCACAACACTGCTATTCGGCAACACCGTTCCACCGGGCATGTACGCGTATCCATTGACGACCTGCGGAGCCAGCTGGACCTGCTGAGCCGGAACCGGGTAATAAGTGATCGGGCCTGGGGGCGGCGGCGGGGGAGGAGGTGGCTGGGGTGCAAAGCCGCCCGTTAGGTAGGTCGTGGTAGTGACGGTGTTGGTTAGGATCGGCATCGGCGGCGGCGGCGGAGGCGGAGGCGGAGGCGGAGGAGGAGCGTGGAAGAAAGTGGTGGTAGTTTGGGCGGTGTAGCCGCCACCGGGGAAAATGATATAAGGGGAGGCCATTGTGTAGATAATAGGCGGCTGCTGGTGAGCTGTTGTTACACCTTGTGCACCTGCTGCTGCTCCGGCGGCTGCTCCGGCGGCTTCTCCGGCTGCGTCTCCGGCTGCTGAATGTCCCTGATTTCCGGAAGCACCTGTAGCTTCGTTGCTGTCGAGTTCGGAGGGCGGGGTTGGTACGGTCTCGACCGGTGGGACAGATTTTTGTTCTTCTTCGCCTGCTTCGCCGGACATAGCGTCGAAAGTGCTGTACAGGCAGTCAGAATGAGGGTGTGACAAGCTGGTGATAGAAATTGCAGGTAGGCAGCTGGGGGTTTTGTAGGAAATGAGGAGGGGTTCTTACCTTAAAACGCAAACCGTTGCTATCGCTAAGAAGGATCCCTTGGATGTGTCAGACAAAGGAAAGAAGGGCACTGGATGTGTGATCACAGGCGGCCTGGGAAGAAGTGGCTCGATCTGGTTTGGAAGTTTGGCATTCAAGGGTCAGCAGTTTCGGCTGTGCCTGAAATACTTGGAGAGGCAGCTGTCAGAGTCTTGGGACCGGGAAAGGATGGAAGTGACCCCAATCCCAACACTCCCGCGATACCTAGCTCCCGTCGTTTATGGCAGTGGATCATGATACCTTGACTCCGGCTACGTGTTACCCTTTGTTCCCCCAGGGCATTATACTCAACGCTGGGATAATCGGGGTCTGGACTCGCCCTGCTTCTCTAGATGTGGGCCACTTATTTCCCATACTGCTCATTTTGGCAGCATGCCGTTTGTGTCCTTCCACATTGGATGAAACCGTCAGGGCTCCCATGGAAATGTGTCACCGCTTCAATCTGGGACCGGTGACGTTCTGTGTCCCTATCTTGATCAGTCACCAGTGCTCTCTAACACTTCACAAAACGGTAGGATATGTGGACCGGAGTGAGTAATTCGAACTTTTGATGTGTAATTTGAGTCGTAAAGATATCGAATTGTGTGATCATATCAAACGGCCACATCCACTATTCCCCAAACGTGCCGTCTCTGGTGGCCTGGTGTAGTCCCCATGCTGTAATCCTCCACTCTACTTCCTCTCCTCAGCAAGCATCTTCTCCGCCGCCTTGGACAAATCCTTCAAGGCATCCTGACGCTTGTACTTGGCATCCTCGATCACACCTACGACACAAGATGTTAGCAGTTTGAAGAAACAGGAGCTATACGAGCATGAAGTGTGTGTTTGCTTACCCAAATCGGCATCACTCGAAAACCTGGTACTCCAACGGATAAAGGTGGTGTTGGCGAACTCGCCAGAAGTTACAGGCCAGAGGCGGATGGTATTGACGACGCTGGAGTAGCTCAGCTCAGGTTCGGCATTGATGACACTGAAGGTGATGAAGTGTTCGAGGTTCTACATATCATTGAACCAATTAGCAACCAAAGCTCGCTTTGGGAGGATATGGTTAGGTGGCTTCTTACGCTGTGCTCGTCCTGCTTGACCTCAATGACATTGCCGTCCTTGAAGGTCCACCTCACAATGTCGGTCTCCTCACTAGTGCCCTTGACATGCTCGGCCTTGGAGATGGCAGACCAGAACTTGTCGAACTCCTGGAGCTTGATGAAGTGCCACACAAACGAGAGAGGGGCCTTGATAACGGTACTCTCGACGACCTCGCCGATGAAGCTGAAGGGCTTGCCAGACATGGTATTTCGTTGAGGGTTTTGGATTCAATTGGTGCCGTGTGTGGACTTTCGAGATGATGTGACGCTGGCTTTGAAGTTTCGTGTGTTTGAAGTACAGTAGAGTGGTGTTTGTTTTATAAAAGGACGAGAGGAAAACGGATATTTGGAGTAAGTTGGAGAAAATTCCAGACACGTAGATGGGCTCGATGCTCCAATACGTCATACGGAGATCACAGCGTAATGATAGGATGGCAATCGCGGGGTCTGGATGCGGTTTCCATTGAGGACAACGCACTGCGACTTTCCCGTTTGCTTGTATAGAGATGACTGGGTATCCGCCTTTCCTTCGATAATCTTTTGTCTCGGGCAACTGCTGGATATTCACCTGGACACCTCATCTTTTCTTACCAACTATTTCGCGGTGGTGACTGCCTTCATTGGATGATCCATGTCTTATACCTACCCTACCTATGAATGCAGTGGTCTTGGCGACGGAAGCTAGATCTGCATATTCGATTGGACATCTCTTGGCATAACTACCTATCATGTCTTCATTGCATGGTCATCACGGTGTTAAGAAGGCAACTTGGGATTCACGGAGACGTATTCATATACGAAAAAGACCACAATGAACTGATTTCGAGGAAGTTTCAATTCAACATAGGGTATAAGAGCGATCCATAAGGCATGCTGGAAAAGGAATACTGACAGAAATAGGAAGTTTCGCCATATCCCCGCTCACCCATGCTCAGAAACCCCAAGCCAGCCAAGAACTCCATTGTCCATACACCATTCATGTCCCAGAATCACAGCTCAGCCTTGCCCAAAGACTTGATAGTAAAACCCATTGATCCTTCGTACAACTCCGATTCTTCAGATTCTCCCAACAATGCGGTCCCATAATCTCCCTGGGTCCTGCGATGAGTACATGCTTTTGTCCCGGTCTCCAGTCTCCTCCCAAGTCCCAATCCCACATCGCAATCCCTTAATGAACTAGTTTTACTAATTCAGCACAGATGTTTGTTTTTGGAGTCGACCAGCACTCGAGTTCTTGTAGGTATCGGCAATGGGCTGCTTCCTCAACGTCCGTCCAACAACCATCGGCAATCAGATGTTTCCTAATCCGAGTCCTCCCAAAAGCTCCGCCAACCTTTTGTCGTTCTTCTCTTGGCCAAGACCACCATCTTGTTGGAAGAACTCATAGCGCGGCATCGAGACCGTCTCCTGGCAACACATACAGATCCAATGAATGGTGTTTAGATCTGCCCCTCCCTCTCTGTTTTGGAAGTTGTGGGCGTCGACGCCGGGACGAGCCATGCACTTGGGACACGGCTTGTAGTCCCGCTCGCTCAGACTGAAGCGGAACTGGACCCACTCGTTCATGCGACGAACTTGCTCAAGGAATTGGTCCGCCCTGAGCAGCCTGTGGCCGAAACATAGATCCGCCGTGACCAGTTTCTTGCAGGAGCATCGGAAAAGCTTCTTGGCTGTTCGAAACATACTGGGAGCATTGTCGGCAAGAGCTTGCGCCAGCGAGTCCGAAGTGGGAGGCGTCGCGACAGGGAATGATGTGTTGTCGTGGTAGCGCATCATGTTCTCGGTAATGGCTCCATGCTCATAACCTTTCTTGAGGTTCTCCAGGTGCTCCGGGTCCCGTCCCAGTGCCGCTTCGGCTTCGGCCCAGCGAGATTCCTGTTGTGCCTCCTGCGCCGAACAAGGCGCGCAAAGGAAGGCGCGCGATTTTGCGATCTGGTCGTTCGTGAACCATTCCGGTAGGCCGTTGAGCACTAGCAGTCTGCTTTGATCGCTGCAGTGACCGCACAACTTGTGTGGCTCGAGATGGGTACGGTCGGCGCATGTTCGTACCACTCCGTTGTGCGCCAGTTGGGGGTCTAGGGTACAAGGAGGGACCGTGGTAGCTGGGTCAACACGGGCATCTCTCACACAGAAGCCCAGGGCCGCATAGCCTGAGTACTTGACATGCTCGATTACGGGCGAGCTGCACTCGGTAAACCCTTGATGGGCGGGAAATACTCTTGGAAGAGCCAAAAGTGAAGAGATGGTCGGAAGTCCGATGAAGTCGTTGTTCCCGGGATAACAGAGACCTGCTGGGCGCGGAGGCATGGGGAGTTGAGGTTGGTAGTAGATCCTGGGCAATGTGTCGTATGTCTTTTTCTCAAAGCGTCTTCCTGAAAGCTCGTCGGTGGGAACGGTAAGGTTGTGTATGTCTGTGCCGTTGGATAGCTGTAGGACGCCAGGTCGCGGGCAGCCCCTGGGTCGGCGTCTGAAATCGCGGCCAACCGACAGCTTGCTGAGGAGCTGGACGAGATCTTCGGGGGATGATGAGGGTCCCATGGTGTAGTCTGATGTGGAGCGTGATCACTTTGTGGTGTCTTGGGTGGTAGGTGGTCGTGTACAGGGTGGTACTTGATGGCGGTCTTGCTGGTTGCCAGTGAGTGGTTGGTCAAGTAGTTCTAGGAGGAAGAGATTTGTGAGGGCTTACCCTCTGGTGGGAGAAATTTAAGTACCATGGAGGAGGGAGTTGGCTGTCAGTGAACCTTGAGTTTTTACATGTTCGCATACACAGTCGCAACTGAATAGCAAGGCCAAGGGTGACTTTGAGTCACTGTCATCTGAACAATAAGAAGAACAGCAATGTTGAGCTGGGCTGTTCAGGACGACGACACCTTGATCCCTATGCGACCACTGCGACATAAACATTCACCGAGCTCAGGAGCCACTGGTGGGTAGGAGAACAATGGCATTGTTCTTGCGGACAGGTTGGTGTAAGCCAAGGGCGTGAGCGAGGCCGGTCGTGCTTTGGACGTGGCCCATTCTCTTGTGAACATATCAGCTATTTGAGAAAAAGGACGCTGATTGACGTCGTAGGCTGAACACCTTGACTATAATGTGATGAAAACACCTGGACGAGGGAACTCGATACCTCAAGAGACGAAGTGATCAGCAAGATTCGGGGGGATAAGGATATATATAATATGCCAGCTAGGTACTTGATTCGATGAACAACTTGGCTGACTTAGTGTGGGTGGATTGTGCGAGCCACGCAAAATAAGACGCAAATAATAACCCATCTGTTCATGACCGTACCCATGTTCGACAGTCACTCGCAACTACCGTTGTTGTGTTGGCCAAGTGAGGGGCTCACTAACGTTCCTGTTGGGAGGTGTGACCGTGGTCGGAACGTTGGCGGTCGACCCTGCTTGTATGATCCCAGCGGGAAGGAACTGGTGAATGGTAGAGATGATGGAAACCACGGGCGTAATGTCCAGGTGTCATCGCCAATACCAGATGGAAGAATACCTCTAGTATAGGTAGGTGCCCCTCGCTTGATGACAAAAAGTCATCGCTGAATGCGGACAGTAGCTTGAATCATTTGATGCGCTTTCGCTATCGCATTCACATCGTAGTATATACTCTGTAGACCATAGAGGCTGAAGGAGTGACACGTGGTTAGGGGGAGTCAACAAAACTCATCGTTGAGAGGTGCGCTTTCGTGTGGTACTCATTCGCTGTTCAAAGGCAAGTAAAGTGATTGGAGCCCAGGAAAAATGTACAAGATATGGCTGCTTTTCTATAGTACCATGAGTTTATCTATGGCAATTTTCTGTATGAGCTTGATTGCTTATGCGCCAGGTGGTGTCGGCCGGCAAAACACTGCACAAACACACTGCACTGAGATGGCGAGCTTCCTCTCTTCCTCTTCACAGCAGGCTCACTCCATCTGTACCATGCATATTCATCAGAATAAGTGTACATTCAGGATCCTCAAGGCAAACATTGAAATGTGATGATTCTACACTCTGGTTGTCCAAAGTTTGCCGGATGGATTGCTGAATGCTTGCCGTGGTTTCTGCCTTGACGAATAGCGGTGGCCCGTTCGCTGTCCCGTCTTCCCAACAAAATATGAGCTGTTTCCTGCCGGGAGATAATGCAACGACTTGACAATGTCATTGAATTTGCGCACCAGTGTGTTCAGTCGTTGGGCCAAATATTGTCTCAACAATGGGCTTCGGTGTTCGAAATGAGTTCTATGGCAACCTACCAAGGACTGTCATGCTTATCATCCGTTGATTGCTTATCAAGCCACAGATCTCAGTCTCGAAAAACATGACGCGATCTAGACACCACCTCAGCATATAGACCAACCACCCATCCGCACCCCGAAGCGGCCGACAGTGGTGATGGCGTCCGTCCATGGCTATGGATTTTGCGATACCAGCATTAAGGGATCGATATCCACTTCAGGAAACTGAATGGATCGCGGCATGGCGGCTGCCTCCTGGATCCCCAGTGCGCCTTTTGGTGATGCCGCCGCGAATTGACGGCGTGCCTGGTATGCTGTACACTGTTGCACGCCGTCAGAATGCCGAGTTGAAGGCCCGATGCAATGGCCAGAAAGGGAGGTGGTTGTCCGGCCGTCGAGGATCCGGGACCGCGATCCAGTCGCGAGGTCGAGTTTATCTGGGAAACATCACGCTTCTGAAGTGTGAATCTTTTGCTTTCCCTTCGAGTCTCAAGATACTGGAGACCAAATCTCACGTCATTCATCGCCCACTGAAAGCGCCAAAGCCAAATCGCCGACAGCCAACAGATGGCAACCAAGTGGGGAGAAGCACCCGAAATGGGCATAGAAACACCGGGCTTGGATGCCGCAGCGAGTTCAAATCGTCGAGGTGTCGCTTTCCGCTCAACAAGACCGCCGTTCAACGAGCCACGGGCCTATAGGGCCTAACACCGAAATGGGAAAAAAGACCCTTGACCCATTCAGCAGGCCGAGCCTAACCCAAGATCAACGCCTCAGCCGCAATGCCCGCCCAGCAAGGCAGGTAAAGCTCGCTTCTTGACCTCTCCCCAGCCCCAAGCAGGGGTGCTGCACCGTTGCACGAGAAGGGGATCTGGGGATCCATCTCCCCAAGGTGGTGGATGCATGGGTTTTTTTAGCGTCTTGAACCGCGTCGTCGTCGTCGTCGTTGTCCTTCTCGTCAGCTTCCTGCTTCTTATGCTTTTCCTTTCCCTGTCCAGTGAAGCTATTTAACTCACGCTCCTTCTCACCACGCTCGCTACTCTGTTGGTTTCACTGCTGGGTGGATTTTGTCTTTCGTTTGTGCTCGCCATCCGTGAGGCTTTTGAGCTTCAAGTCTCTTTGACAACTCTATAGTCGCTGGGGATGGATTTGGTTCCCTTTCTTTTTCCAACTTGGTCGGCTATCCAGAGTCACTTAACCACCTCTTTTCGGCCTTGCGAGCAATTCGTACCCAACACATTGCTTGAATCCCAACAGACTCGGACACAATGCTCGGATTGCATAGGTTGTCAATCCTCCCGCCAGCTCTGATTGCGCTTGTTCTCACATCCATCCCATGCGCCGCTGTCAATATCGACTTCTTCGACTATCCGGTCGATGCATATGACTGTTTGAACCAAGCATCCACTACATCCAACTGTGCGGTGGGAGCCCCAGCTGAGGCGACCTCGTGCTTCTGCAACAATGGAGGAAATTTCGTTACGGGCACGGCCAGGTGTTTGGCAGAGTCGGACCCGGGAGACTTTGCCGAAGTGTATGGCACGTTGGTATCCAAATGTGCCGCAAACCAGACACCTCTGAATGTTGGCGAAGAACAGTACTATTCGGCTGCCGGCTTCACTGGTACGGCAAGGTCGACTAAAGCAATAGTAACCAAGGCTTCAACCACAGACTCCACGCTGATTTCGGCGCCCACATCTCTCATGACATCGACATCACCCACGGGAGCTACCGTGAAAACCGAACCGGAGGAAACGGCCACGTTCGGAAGTCATGCCAAGTCGTCACGGGCAGAAGATGGCAGGGTGAACAAAGATGATGGGTTATCCACCGGGGCAAAAGCGGGTATCATTGCTGGCTCGACAGTGGCAGGCGTGGCCGTGTTGGCGAGCCTGGTAATGCTGTTGGTGCGATATAGGAGGAAGAGGGGTAGGGAAGACTCGCACCCGATGATTCTAGAGCAGCACGGCAATATGCTGCTCATACCATCTCCAGCCGAAGCGCGCGCTCTTGAGGAGGGCAATACCTCGGAAAACTCGGGCGATTGGTCAGACAAGTCCAAATGGAGACCCTCGTCAAATCCGACTGATCAACGCAAGAGCGGCTTCAACTGGGAATCGCCATATGATCTGGTATATATTGGGGATGAGCCTGAACCTGAACCCCCCAAGGAAGCAAGAGAAATGAAAGAACAGGGCCGCGCTGAGCTCCAGGGTTGCGATCGCCAACCAGTGGAGATGTCGACACAAGCGCTATCGCCAAAATGGAGTGTGTCGAATGATGCTGCACAACGATATTCGGGAACGGAGTGGGGGGCAGCGGACCTGGCGGGTGAGACAACCGCACTGTCCCAGAGCCGGGGCGAAAGATCATAGAAGGTGCATAAGGTGTGGGTTTCTTGATGGATTTGGCTTAGGCTCTATACCCCGGGGGCTTTTTTTCTTTTCTTTTTCTTTTCTTTTTTTTTTTTAAAAAAAAAAACAAAAAAAAAACCTAAAAAAAAAAAACTAGAAAAGAATCATTTGGGCGGCGTCAAGGACTCCCAGTTCTGATTATAGAGAGGGAACAACAGCACAAGACGAAATATTGATATGGCTTGTGCACTTTCTCTATATAAGGTATGGTCGGAACCTGAAAGCCCTGAAACTATTGGCCAGTTTGCCTGTTAGCATGCAATTAAACGGCGGCATCATAATGCATCACCACCTTCACTATTCCCGCAACCGCATCAACCGGATGCGGTTTCAACAGTTCCCCAAACCTTTCACACGGATCAAGACGGGGTTTGCCTGATTCCTCTAGCCCAGGGCAGACGTACCCGAAGGACTGCCGGCCTGGTGCCCCGCGCTAACGTGTGCTTCTCGGAAGGTCTGGGCCACTGAGAGCCAAAGACGACCTCGAGGTAGGGATTCTAGCGTCTCGGCTACAACTTCAATTCCACCTCAACTCGCACCAGGCGGGGACAACACATTCACGAGATTCGATATCTGTGGACCACCCGAGGACCACCTGCCTTTCGTCTAGGATGTTGCTATGAGGCAGGCGTGACCACTGGCCTAGAGGGAGTTATTTCCCGCAAACCGAATCACTTCTCTAGGCTTGCTTCGTTTTGTTTTTGCCGTCCTCTTCCTTTTCGTCTTCTTAGTTTCCATCATCAATTCGAGGTTTGCCTTTCGTTGAGTGTTCTCTTCAACCTCCCAACGTCTTTTTACGTCTCTTGCTGCAAGTGTTGGGTTGGTTTGCTTCCTGTCTTACCATCATTAGAGCCTGAACACTTTCAGACCACCTCATTGTACTGCTTGCATCGGTAAGCATTATTCAGGCCCCATAAGGCTCATTCCAATGCGCCCTCGCCCTGCGTGAGGCAAGGCAACGTTAGCATGCATCAACATCACATAGCATGCTGAAGGTGGTCATGTCTAAAAGAAATACTATCCAACAACCACATCAAAACTATACATACATCTGTACTGGTAGCAGTCTTTTCTACCACGTACCTTTCTGGATCTCACATTCTTTTCGTGCTTATCCGGCGGGCTACGCAAGGGTCCAGCAGCCGCCATAGCGACACCCAACAACAACAACAATAACAACCATCTTCATCGCGAGAATACCTCGAAACTCATCAAACAGGTTCTATCCCCTTTACCGAAATGATAGACACGGCAGCATACGGTCTAGCCGGTCTATGGCCATGCTACAGTTGTTGCCGGGAATTTTGGGTATGTGCCTGCAAATAATTCATCGTGTTCCTGCTCTGGTTCTCATATCCTTCGGGCAAAGACACGCGGATACCGTATCCGAGCCTTCTCTGCTTACGGCGCCTTCAAGTGACACCCGAGGCTATTCCGCAAACTCATCGCTAACACCAACTCTACAGATACCCTCTCTCGCCAACTTTGGACCGCACTGTCTTGGCATCGTTGGCCATATTCCTGTTTGGATCTCTCTTTTGGTTTTTGTGCTTCACTATGCACTGGTTTGGTTCGACCGATGGCGCCCCATTTGGCTGCGAAACCTCACTGCCGAGAAAGACGAGGCTGGATTTCAAACTCACGATCAGGAAGAAGCCGGCGCCAACCACGACGAAAGCTTCGAAGATACTCCGCTACTCCCACGCCGACGAGCAATCGCGGTGTCTCGCAAGAAGATATGGACAGGCTGGACATTGTGTCTTCTGGTTCTCAATCTCACTGGTGCCCTCATCAGCATATTTGGTGCCGCCATGGCCCATCAAAACCCCACTGAAATCCAGCTACATCTCATACCCCTCATCCCCAATGTAAGATGCGATACCTTGATGGCACGCATAGGTCATTCCTGGACTCCGTACTGACTTCCGGCGCAGATACTGTCGGCATTACTCATTCTCGTTGATCGTCCCAGAACTGTTCGAAGGTCACTCTTTATCATCGCCGCCACACTTCTCTTCTTCCAACTCACGATTACCACGCTTGCCCCAGATGCCATCGGAACGACATGGAAATGCTTTACAACCTGGGGCGGAGGGATTTGCGTGACTCTAGCATCCATCGTTGCCATGCTCAACATGCCACTGCGAGATCCGCTATTGAATAGCTCCAAGATTGGCAAGCCTTTCGCCAAGCCGGAGTCCAGTGTACGAAGCCCTGAAGACATAGTCACCCTTTGGCAGTGGATGTCTGTGTCTTGGATGGCGCCCTTGATATCTACCGCCTGCAAGAGGCAGTTGCATGATAAAGACGTCTGGCTTCTGGCATCCGACTTCCAGCACCAGACTCTGCACCTCCTTTTTAGAGATTTGACTGGTACTGTACTCGTTAGGTTGCTCAAAGCGAATGGTCTTGATATCGTCCTGACAACATGCCTCGGAACATTCGAGACATTGGCTGAGCTATCAGAGCCCGTTTTACTCAAGCAGCTTCTCAATGCACTCATGTCCGAAATTCCTGCCATCCGGGCAGCTGTCGTCTATGCCAGCTTCATCCTTATTGCAAGAGTTTTGAAAGCTCACTCTGCTGTGTTTAAACTCTGGTATGAACGACGCAACTACGAGCGATCGCGCGGCGAAATGATCACCATGATTCACGACAAGACATTGCGCCGGAAGGCCTTCACTATTGCGGCGGAAGTGTCCACGCCAAGCTCGCAGACCAGTACCTTGTTGGGAGATGAAAATGATACCCTGGAGGATATCAACAACGAGGACGCTGAACCTTCTCAACCCTGGAGTCTCAGGTCTTGGGTCAGGGGGGTGTATCAGGCTTTCAAACACAAATTCGTGGTCCCATCTCAAAGAGAAAAGGAGGCGCCTGCGTCAACTGGAAAAATCCTCAACCTTCTTCGCGGTGACGTGTATGAGGTGGCCCAAAGATTCTGGGAGGCATCAACGCTTATCACAAAACCACTCAGTGTCATTGTTTCCGTAGTTCTTCTGTGGAAGATCTTGGGGTCTGCTTCATTGTTTGGCATCATTGTCATCGGCGTCGGCATGGTTGTGAATTATTACATGACGCGCTTGCTAGAAAGAGTTGAGCAAGAGCGCCGTGCTACTACCGACGTCAAGCTCGAGCGCACCAGTCAGTTTGTGGAATCACTTCGTCATCTTCGCTGGTACGATTGGCAGGACCGATGGCTTGGGCACATTATGGAAATTCGACAGAAAGAGTTGTTCCAGCGCGTCAAAAGCAATGTTGTCAACAGAAGCATCAACGTCATCAACAACATAACCTCCTACATGTTTCCTGTTGTTGGATTCGCCGCATATACGCTTATCTTGCATAGGCCTCTAACAGTCGACATCGCCTTCCCGGCTCTTGGTTTATTCACCATGTTGCAGAACAACCTACGCGACCTGCCTTCCCTCTACACCTCTCTGACCAACGCCAGGGTTGCCATGCGTCGCATCGAGGATTTTATGTTGGAGCCAGACAAAGACGACAACGAGGATGACGAAACAGCCACCCCTGCCTTCCACCAGAGCAATCTGGAAATTTCTATCCGCAATGCATCTTTCTCATGGCCAGGCTCTGACACAACAGTGCTGGATAATATCTCCTTTGTTTGTGAGCCCGGTTTGACCTTGGTCTGTGGTAAGGTTGGCATTGGCAAGACGGCATTACTGCAAGCTATCTTGGGCGAGCTCGACCAGCATTCTGGTGAGAAGAATGTCCCTGCCGAAATGATTGGATACTGTGCCCAAATGCCATGGCTTGAAAGCATGAGTATACGTGACAACATCTTATTCAGTACTCCTTTTGATGAGGCGCGGTACTGGCAGGTCCTCAGGGCATGTTGCCTTGTGGAAGATCTCAGAAAGTTTAAGGGAGGAGATAGATCCCTGATTGGGGAGAATGGTACTGGGCTTTCTGGGGGTCAACGAGCTCGTGTGGCTCTGGCCCGGGCTGTTTATAGCAGGAGTCGGATCCTACTTCTCGATGACCCTATCGCCGCTCTCGACCACCAAACCGCCGAAACTATCTCACGCAATATCTTTGCCGACCAAAACTCACCACTAACTGCGGGTCGGTTGATCGTACTAGTGACTCACCGCGTTGATATTGTTAAGCAATATGCCTATCAAGTTCTGGATATTGTTCCTGGTGGACAAGTCAAGACTTTCAAGAGAAGGGAAATTGCGGAACATGAGAAGGAACTGGAAGCACAGGCCGCTACCGCACCGGACAGCTCACCGATCGCCGAATCTTCTACCAGTCAAAATACCGAGGATTCCTCGTCCGAGGAAGAGGCTGAGCTGGCAACGGTGGCTGGTAAGTTTATCCAGGAAGAACACCGGGTACATGGTGGTGTTATGGCCACCGTCTACTGGCAATATGTTAAGGCCGGTAAACTTGCTTGGTGGGCCACGATGGTTACGCTCTGTTTACTGATCCGGATGACCAACCTCGGCTATAACTGGTTCTTGAAAGAATGGGGCGAACAATATCGGAAGTCAACTGAGCTCGGAGATAGACCACACATTTTCATCTCCCACCCCGACTTCAAAGCCGACGGCATCATTGAGCCCGGCCGACATCTTCCTCCACCTGGAGAGAACGTACGACCTTGGCTTATCTGTCTGGCCATCATTGCGCTGGTTCAGGTTTTGTTCGAAGCCCTATCGGATCTTGCCCTCATCGCTATCATGTACAATGCTGGAAAGTCCCTCTTCGCCAAGGCCATGCGCTGCGTCACGAATGCCACATTTCGCTTCTACGACGTGACACCTGTTGGACGGCTCATGAATCGTCTTACTTCCGACATGGGCACGATCGACGGGCAGATTGCGGTTCAGGTGTTAACACTAGCGTTCTATTCCCTGGGCTGGATGACCTCAATGTTCGTGATAGCAACAGCAACACCGGTCTTCATTGTACCCAGCGTTGGCATGACCATGTTATTTGTCTATTTGTATGGTCGTTACCTACCTGCATCCCAGGACTTGCGTCGTCTGGAGACGGTCTCCCTGTCGCCGCTTATGTCGAATTTTGGCACGCTTCTCGAAGGCTTGACTACGGTACGTGCCTTCCGCGCAGAGCCACATTTCCAGAATCGCATCATCGCCACGACCGATGACTTTCAGAAAATGGATCACATATACTGGTCACTGCAGGCCTGGCTACAATACCGCTTCGATCTTGTGTCAGGCCTCTCGGTCTACGCCCTGACCCTGACAGCCATTATCCACGGACTATCCAGCGGCATGATTGGCTTTGTATTAGCGGCCGCTGCCAACTTTGTAGAGAGTACGCATCAAGTGTGCCGTCGCTATGGAGATATGCAAATGCAGTTTGTCAGCGTTGAGCGTATCATCGAGCTTCTCAGCCTCGAACAGGAGCAAGCAAACACCGACAACCCGCCTCCAGCTGGTTGGCCTTCTTGTACCGATGACATCGTCTTCGACAAGGTGACGTTGCGCTATGCACCCGAGTTTGACCCCGTTCTGGTGGGCGTGAGCTTGGTCATTCCCGGCGGCTCGACTGTGGCGGTGACAGGTAGGACTGGCTCCGGCAAGAGTACGCTCGCATATGCCCTGCTTAGCACGATCCAGCCTGATGCGGGTACAGGCGGTCAGATCCGCATAGGTTCCGTTGACATCGCCAAAGTGGACAAACATATACTGCGTCGACACATAACCTTTGTAGCGCAGGATCCCGTCCTCTTTGCCGGTACACTAAGGGACAATCTTGACCCATTAGATGAGCACAGTGAGGACGAGCGGGCTCAGGTCCTAAAGACCGTTTTGAACAACGGATTCACGCTTGACACCAGAGTGGACGGCGGGGGCAAGAATCTCAGTCAGGGGCAGCGCCAGTTGGTGGGGCTAGGCAGGGCGATTCTCCGAAGGAGTGCAATTGTGATTATGGACGAGGCAACGGCGTCAATTGACGTTGAGACAGCGACGTATATTCACCAGTTGCTGAGGATGGAGTTACGGCATAGCACTGTAATTACGATTGCGCACAAGGTGGAGGCGGTTAAAGATGCGGACTTTGAGATTGTGCTGGACAAGGGAAGGGTAGTAAAGGCTGGGAGGAGGGTTCCTAAGTCATAGATGGGCTCTTCACAGGGGTATTGTAGAGTGTAAGGTCGGATAATAGTCAGAGATTCAGCGATACTATACGAGCGTATATAGGTAAATTGATACTAAGGAAGACTTCTTCCAAAACCAGTAGAGATCAACTCATCAAAACAATTGGGCCTTAAAAGTACACGGATTTTTATATACCTGGGTGAAGCTTGATAACCTGTATCTTAAGAAACTGGTCAAAAGAATGAACGTGTATCCAAAATCAGGACATCACGCTCACAGATCTCTAGCTGCCTGATGACATCCTGACTAAAGTCCTCGGTGCCGATTGACCGTATCACTCCCCGCCCGATCTACAAGTCAGCTTAATCCTTTCATGTAGCGTCCATAAAGAGAACTTCCAGAAATCCCATCGAAGGTTCTATTCATCCTCTTTCAGTTCCTTTGTTTCTTTGTTCTTTTGTCCATATGTCACCATCTATGTATCTAGATAAGAGATCCAACCAAGATGAGAAAGATCCGTCAGGGGTTTTACCCAACAACGACAACAAAGGAACCCAAGCATCTGGGTCGGTCATCTTTCATTGGGCTGCTGCTCCTGACTTCCACCGATTCCCGAGATATGAGACATTCCATGTCGTTCAACAAAGACCCTGAGTGTCTTACTTCCCATCCATGTGACGTGGGTTGTAAAATGAAAGACAAAAGGCTTAAAAGGCAAAAGTGACAACAAAGCCAAGACACGAACGGCTCTGCCACGTGGGAACTTGCACGGAAGTTGCCATGCTACTGCATGTTGCTTGGGTTTTTGGGACTGACTGACTGACTCAGACCTCAATGTTTGGGTTTGGGGGTTTGAAAATTTTTGAGTACCTAAGTGCTGATACTCTCTCTCTCTGAAAGCAAAGGTACGCAAGCTGTCACACTGATCAGGCAAAAATGGTAAAGGAGGAAAAATGAGTAAAAGTAAACACCATTTTATTTCTAATATAAACAAGAAAGTTAACTTTTGTCCCATGATATGTTATGTTTTGTTGTTGTGTTATGTCATGTCCAAATTATGATGAGCATATATATGTCCAACGATCCAAATCCTAATAATATCCTTTCCTTCCTTCATATGTCCAAAATCATAAATAGAAAAAAAGTCATCCTCCGCATCGTAGCTTTCCTGGGTTCCTAGGTTCCTAGGGTGCCATGTATATCCATTCCTCTCTTAAAGAAGAGCGAATAGCAACCCGACAACACCCAGCAACCCACTCCTCGCCGCAGCGTTGGCGCCAGCCTCCACAGGTGGGGTAGGGACGGCGCTGGAGCTAGGGACGACAACGATGGAGCTGATGGTAGAGCTGATGGCAGGAGGAGCGGAAACGGCAGGAGCGGAAGAAGTGCTGCTGCTGGGAACAGGGACGGGGGCAGCGCTGCTGACGATAGCACTGGAGCTGGGAGCAGGAGGAGGGATAACCACAGCGCTGGAGCTGGGAGCGGGAGGAGGGACCACCACGGCGCTGGAGCTGGGAGCGGGAGGAGGGACCACCACGGCGCTGGAGCTGGGAGCGGGAGGAGGGACCACCACGGCGCTGGAGCTGGGAGCGGGAGGAGGGACCACCACGGCGCTGGAGCTGGGAGCGGGAGGAGGAACAACCACGGCGCTGGAGCTGGGAGCGGGAGGAGGGACCACCACAGCGCTAGAGCTCGGAATGGGAGCAGCCGAGGAAGTGACGATGGGGATGGTCACAGGAGCCGAGGAAGTGAAGATGGGCATCGTAACCGGGGCCGAGGAGGTGACGACGGGCATGGTAACGGGAACCGAAGAGGAAGTAGGCTCAACAGGGCAAACGGTAGTGCCAATGGTAATAGTCTCAGTGGTGACGGTGGTCGAGTGAGCTGGGCAGTCGGTGACGGTGATGGGACACTTGGTGATAGTGTGAGTGGTAGTGGTGACGATGGTGCTGGTCGTCCACTCGATGGAAGATTCAGACGAAGACTCGATGGGAGCAGCCGAGGTCGAGGAAACAGGGGCCGCGGAAGTGATAGTAATGGGGACTGAAGTCGAGGGCACAGGGACCGCAGAAGTGACGGTGACGGGGACCGAAGATTCGGAAGCGGTAGAAGTCACAGGGCAGACGGTGGTGCCGATGGTGATAGTCTCCGTGGTCACGGTGGTTGAGTGAGCAGGGCAGTCGGTGACGGTGGTAGGGCACTGCGTGATTGTGCGGGTGGTGGTGGTGACGATGGTGCTGGTCGTCCACTCGGTGGTGCCGGACTCCTGGGCCGAAGTAGTAGATGAAACGGGGGCCGCGGAAGTGATGGTAACGGGGATGGACGAAGAGGGAACAACCACAACCGAAGATGTAGTCTCGGGCTCGTCGTCGGTGCATTCATCATCGGTGGTCGAAGAGACGGGAACGGAGCTCATTACCGAACTGGGAGGAACAGTAATGGTGACGGAAGAAGAGGGAGGGACGGTAACGTCAGTCGAAGTCTCGGGCTCGTCGTCGGTGCATTCATCATCGGTAGTCGAAGAGACGGGAACGGAGCTCATTACCGAGCTGGGAGGAACAGTAATGGTAACGGAAGAAGAGGGAGGGACGGTAACGTCAGTCGAAGTCTCGGGCTCATCGTCAGTGCATTCATCATCGGTGGTCGAAGAGACAGGAGCGGAGCTCACTGCCGAGCTGGGAGGAACGGTGATAGTAGCCGAGGAAGAGGGGGGAACGGTGATGGTCGCCGAGGTGCTGACTGCCGAGGAAGAGGGCAGCACAGTAACGTCCGTCGAAGTCTCAGGCTCATCCTCACAATCAGAATCATCATCCGTAGTCGTGGATGAAGTGGGCGGGGCACTCGTTACGGTAGAAGAGGGCGGTTGGGTGATGTCGGGGATAGAGGTCGTGGGCGCAACTGTGGTGTCCGAGGCCGTAGTCGTCACGGCAGGAACACTGGTCTGGATAGTAGAGGCCCCGGTCGTGTGAGTTGCGGTATAGGTGACGCAGGAGCAGGCAGAGCTGACAGCCTTGCGATCGTTGCTACAGTTCTCGAGGTAATCCGGGATAGTCTCAATGCTTCCACCCAAAAACCCGGGGCAAAACTCCTTGACCTGGTCGTAAAACCGCTCGTCCGTCATCTCATTGTAGCAGTTGTCAGGGTCCTGATATCCCGTGTTAGTAAAAAAAAGGTCTCGGTTTGAGAGTTATACAGAGGAGTGATCACTTACACAGTTAGGATACGTCCATGCCTGGGCCAGGCCGAGGGACAAGGCCCCCAGAGCAAGAGTAGCGGCGCGCATTTTGTCCTTGAGATATCCTTAGTTGCTTGCTGATATGAAAAAAAACGACCGACGCCTGGAGCAACACAGTATGTTTATCAACAACGAGAGTATAAGGTAATCCGGTTGATAAGTCCTTTCCGTATCTGCAGACAAACGAGCGACTGCGGGTGGTATTAGATATTACAAAGGGCAGACTATTTCCCTTGTTGCAGCGAGGAGAAGTAAGAAAGGGACCGGAGAGGAGGGCACGCCGGTGACCCCGAACGGACCGCGCGTCTCTTTATAAAAGAAAGAAGCAAAGGACGTAAATATCTGCCCATCTTTAACCGACAGCCACCAGAATCGATAGCCTCTGGGGCTAGCCTTGGTCCCCGGGACCTGGAAAAAGGCTTAGGTGCCATTCCCAAAGCGGGCAGCAGCTGGGCATTACGAAATTCAGCCAATATTTGGCATTCGGTGGCGCCCTACACAGGTGGTGAGGTCGCATTGTGGATCGTGAGCTGACAGGGAATCAGGGGGTTTCCTATCAAGTCCAGATGCGGACGAGCTACAGTACTGCAACTTTCCACCTGCCATCTCAAGCCATGGTACCTGTCCATTGGCCTGTCCATCCGCCCAATGGCAATCAGTTTTGCGCCCAACTGTGAGCGTCGGTTAATCGGCCAGATAGCCGCTGTCCACCCTAGAGAGGGGCTTGGCTCGATACTATTGGGACCGATGGTGTGTGGTCTAGACGGCGTTAGTTTGTTGTGGAGATTTTTCTGGGGGATGTTGTCTCCCAAGCAGCCGTGCTATCAACCTCCTTCCCTTTTGACGATGGGTTTCAATTGCTTCCATGGGACTCTTGTGTGGGGGATCCCCCCATGGTACACTAGAATGAGTGTTGAGATGAAGAGTGGAAAAGGTGATCATGGTAATGATGATGACAAAGAGGGTTACAATGGTGTTGTTCTCTCGTGCGTAACCTTGATTCTGACCGTTGGACATGCAACTTGCAAAATGCTCGACTAAGCGAACGAATCTCGGCGAGCCATGCACAAAATACGAGCTGCACAGGTCGGAGTACCTGCCTTACGCCGTCCGTAGGGGGAAGCGATTTGCACACATGCCGTGAGTTGTCATGTCGATGTGGTGCAACAACTGAAAGCCCCTACTTCCCCGGAAAAACCCATCACGGACGCATCTTGAATGGCTATCCGCGCACAAAACGACACGCCATGCAGCGTTTGGGAATAAGGGCAGAGAACAAAGCCCGGGTCGATGAGCAACCACGAGGCCCAAACAAAGGTACCATTCAAGCTGGAGAATTTTGTGATTGGATATCAAGAAGGTCCTTTGTTCGAACGGTCGCAGGAACGTATTACTGGTTGGGATGTCGGTGCCAATGCAGATGGCGACTCGGCTTGCTTGGCCCTCGGCTTCAAACCTGTTGAACTTTCTTGGTTGCGCTTGTCATTAGTGTAGTTATTTCCTCCCTTTTCTGGAAGTTCCTTTACAGCGTTCACTCCTCCTTGTACCGGTAAACAGCGGTTTCCAACCACTCAGAGTGCCTCCTCGCCTTTTCCCATCGGCAAGAAATTCCGTTCTTCTCGTATAAGCCAACTGACTGACTGCTTGGAATCTCGTCATATTGGTAACTACATATTGTGTACTTTTATACCCATTCTAGAAATCCCATGGCATCATCCCATTCTATTTTGATACTTTTGAGGGGTTGATGCGCTCAATGACTGTGACGTTGCCCCAACTCTCGGTCTCACTATGGTAGGGCTGGACGATCATGGAGAACGCGGCACGTACATACCTTACCTTGAAAATAACGATGCTGTGATATTGCTGTCGGAAATTGAACGGGACTGTCGAGCCCACGTTCAAATGTTCTCAAGGGAAACCAATAAAGATCCGCTTTGGTCAGCATCTTTACGAGCAAACATCCACTACACAGTATGTAGAGTGGCGTCGGTCAAGTGGTTGGCTGAAGACAGTCTTTGCATGTCGGCGCAATCAAACTGCTGGGTTCCCACGTTGATGACAGTGATCCCTGGCTCAAAAGTAACGAGAGCCTCCCCGGTGGAAATTAATTCTTTACTCATCTACTTACATGTCGCGATTTGGAGTCAACAATTGTACGGGTATGGATGTATCGTCGTTCGCAGGTGGAGATTTGAACCACTCCACGCCCAAGGAGATGATGGAACAGGTAAAGGTTAACGAGGTATACGGTGGTAGGATTCGGATCTAGCTATAATCTTGTTCTAAGGAGCGACGACCAAAGACCACAATACGAACTCCCGAGGCAAAACCCAATACATACGAAAAGGGCCCATGTGATGCGCTATTAGTTGGGCAAGCTGATCAGCCGTCATCAGGCTGCCCACATTCGTTTCTTCCCGATGTGAGCTTCTCATATTGGCTAAGAAGCCACCGGCTGAGTAGCCATCCAACAAATCATGAATCCTATTCAAGCTTCTGAGCCGCGAGAACCGAGTTTGTAGAACAAGACTTGCGGGGTACTGGTTATACTGTTTGCGGCAGTCTTCAGTGGTATTCAGGATCTGAGCCTCTTTACGTTCTTGCAGAGATGATCTCCGGCATCTTGTCAGTACAGCTTGGACAGTGTTGAACAAGGTTACAAGACAAAGACAGGTCGGCTAGTCCACATGATATCTCAATTTGGAATGTCCCTCGGCTTTTGGCTATGAGTTGAAGTTGATCAAACAGATGTGGCGACCCACACTTGCGGATCGGCTTATTGGGTCCCAGTTCCGTGTTGAATACCAGTGAAGAATACATCGTCGGCATGCTGATCCCGCTATTGGGCTTTCCAGACGTTTACAAGCTTGTCTATACCATTTCTCTTTGGGATAAGAGAAAGTAGAAGTGCTGGACAGACTGCTTGCACTTACTCGTAGGTCTCATCCAGCCTTCTTGATGCCATCTCGTCTTGTAACATCGAGAAAGATGTAAAGTAACGCGTGTCGATGGTGGTGGCTGTAGGATGAGAGCATACTATCCGTAGAGGTTTGGATACTTTGATAAACCGAAACAGTGTGTAGCTTGAGCTACTGATCAACCGTCGCATGAGTATTTCACGAGTGTCCAACGGGCTTCTCAGGGGGGCAGTGTACCATGTAAACCAGGGCAACTCACAATGGCTTCGCAGAGTTAAATGTATTCGGCAGCCGCATGTACAGTTCCCGGAAGGTACTTGAACCTGGAAAACGACTGACGTAACTCCCGGCAAGTGGTTAACACTGCGTCTGAGCCATTGAGTTTCCCGTGTTTCTGCGGTAGTACGGTAGACACTACCACAAGAAAGAAACATCACGAACTCGCGAGCTATTTTGAACAGAGAGTACAGTCAGCAACATCAGCACTTATACGAGATAAATAAGATGCTGGGTATTAAAAGCTTACGTCGGTACATTGCAAGTATTTTGTATCATCGAAGCCACGTAGGGTAGGTACAGTAATGGAAAGATGCAGACGGAGGTAAACGTGCCACTTCAAATCTAAATTAACGTCGTTGCTGCGGTTTTACAACATCCCAAATCATTGTTGAAGAACGCTCGGCTTCACTCACAAACACATCCCTCACTGCTCTTCATCATACATCCAACCCAGGCTATCTCCTTCGTCAGATAAGAAGCCTCAACATCTCTCTCCCCGGCCTCAACTTCAAATCACGACAACTGGGAACATACGTACCGTGCATCCTAAGGTACATACGGCTTCCCACACTTCTGGCAATGAAGTTCCGTTCAACAAAGAGGACATGCCAACGTGTCAAAACGATAACCTCCTCCTCCTCCTCCTCCTCCTCCTCCTCCAACTGCCGATGTGCTATTTCTCGTAGCACATGACATCAATGATGTGACCACAAGATTAAGTGGCGCATGTCTACTCCATGTGCCTGTCTCCTCAGCGAGTGTCAAAGCCGGCGTGGTAGAGTTCCTCTTGACAGATCCGGCACTTTGAGCATCGGAGCATCGGCGAACGTTTTCTTCTTGTATAATCCCGAGCAAACTGGGTGATGTCGGCACAGCGGCTGGTGTCACTGGGAGAATAATTCTCATTGTCGCTGGCAGTAGCATCGTCTTTAAGAGTTTGAAGTAAGAAATAAAAGCAGGGGTTAAACCATCATGTTTATTGTCGAAACAGGCATCGTTGACGTAGGTATTGTCCCCGGCGGACAAGACTTGGATTGTTGTGTTTACAAGTTTATCAAGGGCTTAAGCCCTAGCTTGACCATTTAATGAGCGACGCGGTTGTCGAATCTCTGTGTTTGCGTCTTCCACCCAAGCGAATTTGATGGACTAGAAGGTCTCGGTGGTGTTAAAAAACCGACCGTGACTTTGGCTAGCTCGCCTGGGGCTCGATAGTTGAACCACGTGGGTGAGGTGAGGAATTTCTCGTCTTTTGGACACACAAGTTGAAGGCTCTTTCGTGTGTCGGCTTTGAGTTTGACGTAGCTGTTGTATGCGACCAGGGTTGTGCCTGGTTACCAGTGTGACTCGAAGCCTAGAGTGCGGTTGGCGGGCTCTAGGTTGATGAAGAGAATGTTCCCTGGAAGGGTTGAAAGTATTTCTGCTGTTTCGTTGGTTTGGCGCTATGTTCGATATATAGAAGCCAAAAGAATTCGTCGAGGAGAGCTAAGCGGTATCGAAGGCCTCGAATCACTTAAACTGAAATGTTCCCGTGGTAGCAACAACGGACAGAGGATTGTCCCGGGAGCTAGATAAGAATAGTAGTAGGGTCAATGTAATGCTCATCAGCAAATCAACAGCTGATCAAGTTGTGTTCAGAAAGATTTTTTGAAATGCAGTTAGTCGCTTTCTCCTTCTTCAGCCGAGTGGATGTATAGACCTTGGTGTTCCTCAGGGCAGCCCTGGTGGTCTCCGTACTTCCGACTCCAAGGTCTCAGAGCTTGACTCCTCAATGGGGGCATTCTGCTTTTTTGCCTTTTTTTTGTTGATTTGTCTTTCTTCGCGCTCGAAATTAAGGCTTGAGTTGCGATGGGTGAGTTACTAGAGTTGGTAGCGCTTATGATATCAGTGGCGGGGACGGAGGTGCTGGCCCGTTCCGCTACCCTTAGCTTCATTGCTTGTCGCGTCCTTGGTCACCAAGAGAGGATGCGAGTTAGTTTGTTGCACACGAACCATATCTGAATGGGGGCGCGAAGCGGCTGACTGCTTACGGGTGTACGCGAGAATAACATGATCGGATTCGCAAACAATGTTTACTTCTCTGCTTCTCTGCTATGATAAAGGGCTCGGTCACAACTGCTTCTTCCTCATACCCTTAAGGTAGTACCGCCTCGCCATTTATCGAAGAGATCCATGGGCTTCGAAGAATGGCTAGTTCAAAGAATATCTCGTCACTTTGTTGGTTGTATGTGGTTCCGCTCGCCAGAGTGTCTAGCTCTCATGAGCGGTTAGCATCATGTTGTTTGTCCGCACTCCATTCCAAAAGACCATGTGAGACCGCGAACTTCAAGCATCGAAAAAAACATATGTTGGCCTCGCATGATCGGCGGCTGTCAGCTTACTGGCTGACTGATAATATCATCTGTCTGCTTGTTGAAAGTCCGAGCAAGTGGACCCCCACCAGCTTACTTAGCGTGAACCTCTTCCCCCCGCAAGCCTACCTTCTGGCCTTAAGTTTCAATTTTGGTTCTGCTTCAACCCAGCCACTTGAACCAAGAACTATCTTCAAACAAACATACGTACCATACCGGTGTCTCTCCAAGCAACATCATCATGGCGCCAACATCTCCGACTCCCACCGCCTCTGCTACGGCTACCATCCCGTTTCTCTATCGAATCATCTTGCTCTATATCGAACCCCTCTTCGCAATCAACGGCGCTTTCATGGTCTTCTTTCAGCCAGCCAAATACGCGGCCATGATGACGCGCGCATCTGTGCCCTACGATGCCCCCTCGCAATATCTCTACACGCAGATTGGGAGTGGATGGCTGTACTTTGCCTTCATCCAAGCCGTCATCCTTCGGCTGTATGACGATCTTCGTCTATGGCAGCTGCTCTGCGTCGGCATGCTCCTCAGTGATGCTGGGTATAGCTGGTCCGTGATACAAGGGGTAGGCGGATGGAGTCAGTGGATCAAAGTTGGAGAATGGGAAGCCTCAGACTGGACCTTATTTTGGGCAACTGTGCCTTTGGCAGTGATCAGGATTTTGGTTTTGCTTCAGAGTACGGCCGGAACGAGGAAGGGTGAAGTGAAGGTGAAGATCGATGAAAAGAGGAAGTGAAGCTTTTTGCTGGCAAACAAAGATGACAAATGACTTGAGATGATGGAAACTCAACGGCAGTATATGGCGAACAGTTGCGAAGGACGAGGGTTTTTGATGTACGGGTAGAACACCGTCTTCGTGACCAACCCATCATCGGGATTTGGTTTTCCCCCGTACTGCGGTGTCTTTTAGAACTCGAGGGTTTGGAGCATTGGAGGAGTGGAAAGCAATGTCAGCTTGAATTGCCATCCACAATCGAGAACCGTTATTTTTGGGTGCTCTCCAGGCTAAAAAGAGACAAAAATCAAATCAACCCTCGGCATCGATGGCCGAGCAACAACGACCCTGGAAGCCTAGTCAAGTAGCCGGGCTCGTCGTGGACAAAATAATTGAGACCTTTGACATTATACCTTGGGTGTACTCCCACTATACATCCAAGCGTCATTGTTACACGTCTGGTCTTGAGTTCTAGGCAATTCCTGGATAGAAATATCCATATAGGACGCCAGCTGATGTCTTTTCGAATTACTATGATCCCTATCACAGTCTCGCAATGACCTTTTTTTTCTTTTTTTTCTCTTTGGATATATATTATACCTATATTTGGAGCGGTAGGGGACTAGTTTACCTAACCTGTTGGTTGGTCTCATCCATTTTGTCGCGGACGAGCCGGGTCCTCCTGGCAGATGACCACGTGACAGATCCCAGCTGTCATGGAGAGGTCGAGGAACAACCTGACAATTCCCTGAACTTCCCCTGTTGTTTTGGTTGGGGGGATCTTTCTTCGTTATTTTTTGCCCCTCTGCCCCTCTTTGATGGCTCTCCGCAGTCCGCATATGAAACCGATCGAGAGCTGGCAAGAGGTGTCTCAGGTTTTGGTTAGACGCACCCTGGCACCGCCAATGTCGTAGCCACCAAGTCTTGTTTTACAGTAGAATCCCCTGCAACTGCATCCTCCAGGTACTGCATATACGCTAGTTAGTGCATAGGATTTCGCTGGCTGAATTAATTCCCAGCTACAACTGCATAACTGCATACTGCATACTGATCTCGGACAATTTTTGGTGCGTATGCACTTATAGATTCGGTCTTGAGTGGAGAAATTTATAGTACGGGGTTGGATTTTGGTATCTCGGCCACAGGCCGGCTGCCTATTTGAGCCTAGCGCCATTTTAGGAACTGCATATCCGCCATTTAGTGCATAACTTTCTTGGTGCAGGATTACATGCAAAATCAGGGGGCGATACTGTATCTTGCCCATCATTATCAATCATGTCCTGTTTCTGTTCTTCTTTGGATATGGAAAGTCTCCGAGATCAGTTGTAGCAGGATAGCTCTGGCTTGCTATAACAACGTGAAACGTCGACTTGGTGTCGATCGACCAGACGTTCCAGGTTGGCCCCCAGGGCGTGTCCAGGGACTCGGCCTCGTGGGTCTGACTTGTACCCTTGCTACAGCGTGTGTCTGCGTGTATGTAGATGAAGCGGAGATCCTGTCGACAGATTTATACTGCAAGTCCGTCGGGCAATCTTGCGGGTGTCGTCAACGGTGATTGCGGCCGATAAGCCCAAGAAAATTGGAACCCAAAATTAGCAACGTGGTGACAATCAGAGTGCTGTGGAAGAGAGGTTGTCAAGTTTTTAGCGGCATTTTGTCGCCGCTTGTTCCATCAGCCTCAAACACGACCAGAAAGACGCATGGTTGGCATGGCTCTGAAGCACAGAACCCGTCAGGTTTCTTCCCTGGGCATCGGGCCGCATCTGACAAGTCGGGCTGTTAGCGCATATTGGAATTTGGGGGTCTCTCCATTCCCTCATCTTGTCGGCTTGTTGTGATCGTCTCAATGGCAGAGTGTCTGTGACGGTGATTCGATCTTGGGAGAAATTTGACTGCTCGACTTGCGAAACTGCGGACAGCCAAGCAGAAACTGGACCCCGGCGGGCAATTAGTACCCCACTTTCCACTTGTCAGCAGCACCCGACTTCCCGTCTTTTCCATCCACCAGGGCAGTGCTCATGTTCGTTTTTGTTAGCGATAGCCCCCCCAGCTGACCCCCTGGCCTAACAGGCCTGCCGCGAATCACTGGGTCCAAAAAGGAGAGAAAGCGGGGCCCGCGGCAGGGCAAGACAGGCCCAGCGACCTGACCACCTGCAGGAGACGGGACCAGATTATCTCCTCCACCTCTGGGTCCCGCATCAGCCACTAACAAGGATCCCGCCGGCTGAACACACCATTCCATCCTGCTGCGCTCCCGTCGCTGTCAACCGCGTCCAGGGGCACCACGCCCACACAGCCAGCCCACCACCACCCACTGCACCACCACCTGGCCCCTACCTGGACAGCAGCAGCACGCACTCCCGCCCGCCAGGCGAACACCCCCCCGACTCCCGCCCGACACCTTGGGATTCTATCGATCCTCCCGTCATCACCGCAGTGGCATCTCGCTGTCCGCCTTCCGCTTTGTGTTGAGGTTCCCTCCGTCCCGTCGTCTTGTTCGTTGTACCTCTACACAACCCCCCTCTACCTAGACCCGACTTACTTGCAACATCCATCCATCCATCCAACTCTAAACACGAGTCTTGTTCACATCACCTTGCTGCTGCGCCAAACAGTAGTTGCCTCCTAGTCTGTCGCCCTCGGTCGATTAGAGCCTTGGATTTCCGGACAGCCAGGCCTCCTTTTCTCCTGGCGCCTTCTCGCCCTTACAGTCCACTTCTTCTGTTGACACCGACCCCCTCGGAGGTATCGACACCGACACCAACTTCGACGCCGACGCCGACATCGAAACCGCCCGCTGTCACGTCACCCAGCCTACCTATCATACCTACTCTCTTCCCAGCCTCGTCGCTTCGTAATTCTTCGCTTTTATCCTAGATCTCCTATCCGTCAAACCTCCTATTGGCGTCCAACCTCAGTCCTTTCGTATCCTACGGCTGGTCCACCCTACCTACGTCCATTCCCCTTTTAGGTTTCTGCCAGACAGCAAAATGTCGTGGAAACTCACAAAGAGTATGTCGGCGAACCCTCGCCTTTTCCCTTTCCCTTTCCCCACGGCAGAACACCATATCTGACATGTTGGCACACCAGAGCTGAAGGAGACCCATTTGGGTCCTCTTTCAAGCCCCTTCTCCCGCTCGCCCTCTACCTCCACCATCACAGATAAGGAAGACAAGAGCCAAGCGGGCAGCTCGGGAGCAGCGACCCCTTCGAACGAGAACACCATTGGTAGGCGCTCAGCCCGTCTTGTTCACTCGGCCATCACAAGATTAACCTCTTTTCCTCTCACAGCCGCCTCGGAAGCCCTCACGCAAGCTCCCATCGTCAAGCCTCCTAAGCCCGGTATCCTCGTCGTCACCCTCCACGAGGGTTCCGGCTTCTCGCTACCCGAACAGTATCGCAATGTCTTTTCCTCAAACCATGGCGGTAACTCGATGTCGACGGGAAGTGCCCTTAACGTTGCAGGCTCCATTCGAACCAACAACTCGTCACGAACAGCCAACTTCCTGAGCGGTTCTTCGCGCCCACAGAGCTCGGGCGGCTTTGGCGCCATTCCTACAAATCACGGCCGTATCTCCACAAAGTACATGCCCTATGCCCTCATAGATTTTGACAAGGTTCAAGTTTTTGTCAACTCGGTCGAAGGCAACCCCGAAAACCCCCTCTGGGCCGGCTCCAACACTCAGTACAAGTTCGATGTGTCTCGAGTTACGGAGCTTGCCGTACATCTTTACATCAGGAACCCCAACGCGGCTCCTGGCTCCGGCCGCAGCCAAGATATCTTCCTTGGTGTTGTCCGTATTAACCCCAGATTCGAGGAGAAGCAGCAGTTCGTCGATGACCCCAAGGCCAGCAAAAAGGACCGGGAAAAGGCCGCCGCCGATTTTGCCAACAAGGAGCGCGCCCTCGGACACAGCGGTGTGGAGTGGGTTGACGTTCAGTATGGTACCGGAAAGCTGAAGATCGGCGTTGAGTATGTGGAGAACCGCGCCGGTAAGCTCAAGATTGAGGATTTCGAGCTTCTCAAGGTCGTCGGCAAGGGCTCGTTCGGTAAGGTCATGCAGGTGCGCAAGAAGGACACGAACCGTATCTACGCTCTCAAGACGATTCGCAAGGCGCACATCATCTCGCGTTCCGAAGTCGCCCACACGCTCGCTGAGCGATCCGTTCTGGCCCAGATCAACAACCCGTTTATCGTGCCGCTCAAGTTCACCTTCCAGAGTCCCGAGAAGCTATACTTTGTCCTCGCCTTTGTCAATGGTGGCGAGCTGTTCCATCATTTGCAGAAAGAGCAGCGATTCGACGTCAACCGCAGTCGTTTCTACACGGCCGAACTGCTGTGTGCGCTCGAATGCCTTCACGGTTTCAACGTCATTTACCGTGATCTTAAGCCGGAAAACATTCTTCTCGACTACCAAGGTCACATTGCTCTCTGCGACTTCGGTCTCTGCAAGCTGGACATGAAGGATGAGGACCGCACCAACACATTTTGCGGCACCCCTGAGTATTTGGCGCCCGAATTGCTGATGGGTAATGGCTACAACAAGACTGTCGATTGGTGGACATTGGGTGTGCTTTTGTACGAGATGTTGACGGGTCTCCCGCCTTTCTACGATGAGAACACCAACGAGATGTACCGCAAGATCCTTAGCGAACCGCTGCACTTCCCCGGACCCGAGGTGGTACCCCCAGCTGCCAAGGACCTCTTGACCAAGCTGCTCAACCGCGACCCGCAACAACGTCTCGGTGCCAACGGGGCGGCCGAGATTAAGGCGCACCCCTTCTTCCACGCCATAGATTGGCGCAAGTTGTTGCAGCGCAAGTACGAGCCTGCGTTCAAGCCCAATGTGGTAAGTATCAAGAGCGCTGCCTACTCACCGGCTGAACAAGTCCAATGTGCTAACTACGGTGACTATAGGTTGACGCGCTCGACACTGCCAACTTCGACCCCGAGTTCACATCGGAACTTCCTCAGGATTCTTACGTGGAAGGACCGATTCTGTCAGAGACGATGCAGAACCAGTTCACGGGCTTCAGTTACAACCGTCCTATTGCTGGTCTCGGGGATGCGGGTGGCAGTGTTAAGGACCCATCATTCGCGAGCAGTCTTCAAGACAACAGCAGCAGGAGATAGACAAAGTAAAAGAGAGGTAGAAACTTTGGCTTGGGCAACGGGAATATAGCAAATGCAGCATAGAGGCAGGTTCAGTTAAGCGGTTGTGTCGCGGCTGTGATTGACCCATTGGTGGGTAAGACTGAGCGTAGAGGTGACAGCCAAGTGCTCAGTCGCTGGACAATGGGCTTTCAAAGTCTTTTCTTTATCTTGTGTTTAGTCTATCCATATTTGTGACTTGAGCTACCTAGGTACATTTTCACATAGGAGTTGGGCAGTGATTTGTTTCATTGTTAAACTTATAAACCATGTCAAGTACTTTTACAAAACACGGGGCACAGTTCGACGTTTGCTTGGGAACCAAACTCACAATGAGGTGGAATAGGGTCAGGTAGCCGAGCAACCCGGAATGTCACATCAATGTAGTTGTGCAAGGTCCTTGAGCCCAAAGCTGCTCGCTCGTACAGCCGAATTCGGGTCTTATGATCAATCAGAGGCTGTAGGCATGGATCTTTCTTGTTTTGTTTAAGAGGAACTTCTGGCAGCATTTGCAAGCAGATGGATCAGGGGAGAAAACGGATTAGTAACGAACGGCTCTTGGGAACGGTATAGAAGCATGGCCATTCTAAGCTCCCGTGAATCCCGGCGATCAACGGGGAGCGAGTGACCTCGGGGCTACCAGACTGAAAGATGTGATGAACTGCGAAAAAGTTACCGCCATTTCCAACCCCTGTCCACTTCTGGTCTCTCTGTCTCACATCATATGCGACCAAGTTTCACCGATTGTGTCCCGGTCAAGACCCAAGACACTGGGACTGGTATATCAGAATATCACTTTCATATAGTGCTAACAAATAGCGAAAGCGGGTACTATTGATGGAAGTTGTTGATTGAAGTTGGCGATCATGTTGTTACATATCGGACCGGCTAACATTGCCGCACGTTAGCCAGGCACTCGGATGTACAGTGCATGTACCAAGCTATACATTCAAGTTACGCAATTGCCCCGCATTTGCACCGCGAGCTCACCTTATCAACCCCACCATGCCCACCGTCGTCTCCCCATCAGCAGCTCTCCGGCATCAAGGAAGCGAAGCAGGCTTGCATGATATAAGTGTATTACTAGACGAACCCAACCCATCATCAGGTGCTTTTCCTCCTTTCTTCCCATATTGCTCTTCATCCTTCCTCTCTCCATCCTGTCTCAACTCTAGCGACAGCAGTAATCTCTAATCCTCATCGACGTCATAGACCCTAGAAAGCCATTCGCAGTCGATCGAAAACACACAACATCACCACCATGGCTCCCGCGAACACCCTCTCCGCCTGGTCTGACCTCCAGTCGCACCACTCCAAGGTTGGCAAGACCTTCGTCCTCAAGGATGCCTTCAAGTCCGATCCCGAGCGCTTCTCCAAGTTCGCTCGTACCTTCACCCTCCCCGCCGACATTGCGAGCGACAGCCCCAATGCCACCGAAATCCTCTTCGACTTCTCCAAGAACCTGGTGACAGAGGAGACCCTTGACAAGCTCGTCCGCCTCGCCGAGGAGGCCGGCGTTGAGAAGAAGCGCGATGCCATGTTCGCTGGCGAGAAGATCAACTTTACCGAGGACCGTGCCGTCTTCCACGTCGCTCTTCGCAATGTCTCCAACCAAGAGATGAAGGTCGATGGCGTTGATGTCATGAACACCAAGGGCGGCGTCAACGAGGTCCTCCAGCACATGAAGGAGTTCTCGGAGCAGGTGCGCAGCGGCGAGTGGAAGGGTTACACCGGCAAGAAGCTCACCAACATTATCAACATTGGTATCGGTGGTTCCGACTTGTAGGTTCAAACGTCCTCCTACCTCCCTGCCCGAGAGAGAAGCATTGGCTAACAAGTACCATCACAGGGGTCCCGTCATGGTCACTGAGGCCCTCAAGCATTATGGTGCCAAGGACATGACCCTTCGCTTCGTCTCCAACGTTGACGGTACCCACATCGCCGAGGCCCTCGCTGCCTCGGATCCCGAGACCACCCTCTTCCTCATCGCTTCCAAGACTTTCACCACCGCCGAGACCATCACTAACGCCAACACCGCCAAGTCGTGGTTCCTCGAGAAGACCGGCGGTCAGGGCGATATTACCAAGCACTTCGTTGCTCTCTCCACCAACGAGGCCGAGGTCACCAAGTTCGGCATCGACGCCAAGAACATGTTCGGTTTCGAGAGCTGGGTGGGCGGTCGCTACTCGGTTTGGTCTGCCATCGGCTTGTCTGTCGCCCTCTACGTTGGCTACGAGAACTTCCACAAGTTCCTTGCTGGTGCCCACGCCATGGACAACCATTTCCGCACCGCTCCTCTCAAGGAGAACATCCCCGTGCTCGGCGGTATCTTGAGTGTCTGGTACTCCAACTTCTATAACGCCCAGACTCACCTCATTGCTCCCTTCGACCAGTACCTCCACCGCTTCCCTGCCTACCTTCAGCAGCTGTCGATGGAGTCCAACGGAAAGTCCATCACCTCGGACGGTTCCGCGGCCAAGTACACTACCGGCCCCATCGTTTTTGGCGAGCCCTGCACCAACGCCCAGCACTCCTTCTTCCAGCTTGTCCACCAGGGCACCAAGCTGATCCCTGCCGACTTCATCCTCGCCGCCAAGTCTCACAACCCCATCTCCAACAACCTGCACCAGAAGATGCTGGCGTCCAACTACCTCGCTCAGGCTGAGGCCCTCATGGTCGGCAAGACCGCCGAAGAGGTCCGCGCTGAGGGTAACGTGCCCGAGCACCTCGTTCCTCACAAGGTCTTCCTCGGCAACAGGCCCACCACCAGCATCCTTGTCGGCGGCCACATTGGTCCCGCCGAGCTCGGTGCCCTCATCGTCTACTACGAGCACCTTACCTTCACCGAGGGTGCCATCTGGGACATCAACTCGTTCGACCAGTGGGGTGTCGAGCTCGGAAAGGTGTTGGCCAAGAAGATCCTCAAGGAGATCGACGAGCCTGGTGCGGGCAGTGGGCACGACGCTTCTACCGGCGGTCTCTTGGGTGCGTTCAAGAAGTATGCTGACTTTTGAAGGTCAAGGGGGGCGTTGCCGCGGCTTTGAGATTTGAAGAGGGCCGGCTTTATATAAAATCAAGAGGGAGAGGGATGACTGATTGGATGAACATGATGTGATGATCTACTTATTACCTGAATAAAAGGAAATTTTGTGATTGAACATGAGACGCAAGCCTAGATATTGACACAACGTCATGCATTAAGTCCTTAACATCCCTAATTCCAAGCACCTGTCGCATCTTTTGTCCCGTATCGTTTCTCATTCTCAACAGATCACAGTTCAATGCCTTGAATGAGTTTGGTTATCGCTGCCCAAAGTGTTTCCAGATTCAACTGTTCATGAACTTTTGCATCGGTATGAATAGCCCAAAGTGATCCACTCCAAAAGCAAGGTACCCGTACATGTCAAAGTTGACAGGTGGACTTGTGGCCTAAAGTCATTAGGTATATACACATCACCCCTGGAAAGTTCGTTAGCTCGGTACTTGCATAGAGTTTTGACAGGGGAATAACAAGGGGGGGTGACAGGGAATGAAACCAGTAAAATATAGAAGGTAGTAAGGGGGGTTCTAGGTGATTCAGGTGATTCTGAGCCAGTAAAGAAGATTTGTGTGTGTGTGCTCTGTTTACTCGTTCTCACTTCGAAATCAGGCAGATTCAGCCAATCAGAGCTTGTAAATAGACGTGTCCCGCCTTGCAACCCCCCCTGTGAAAGTATGTGGGGCAAGAACCGCGCTAACAAACTTTTAAGGGTCAATATGTAGTACGGATCCATACAGGGGGGGCTTTCCGCTTGGTTTTCGATTCTTTTTCCCTTCTTTTCCTTTACTTTCATTTTTTTCATGTTTCATTTTCCATTTTTCTTCACATTACGAAACCACCGGCTAGGGTGAACCATGTGGTCATTGATCATATCTTGTCCGCGGATGGTCTTGGGTGATGGTGGTGGTTGTGACTTGGTTGAGGTGGGGGATCGATTGAGATCAGATGAAAGGTTGGGGTACACTAAAAGAGAAAAAAAAAATGGGGGTCACGGTTCCGGGCGGGGGTCCATCGGAGGTGGATCGCCGGCTTTTGACGGTCCAGGTCACATAGCTTCTCCGAGTTCCGGAGTCCGCAATCCGGAGTGCTGCTGGCTTATAAGTTCGAATTCGGTATCATGAATAAAAGGAGGATGGGCTGTGGTTACTTAGCAAAAGGCGTTTCAGATCGAACAGTGTCACACTATTATCATCAACTCATATCATCATCTCTTTGAATTCACTTCTTATCGATTAACTCCTTCCCTCTTTGCTTGCAGCAAGAACACACGAGAGAATCCGATGGTGACAATGATCATGCATTTTTCCATGTTGTTGATTTCCTGTTCCTTTCAGTTTTGCTTTGAGCCGAGCCGCCCGCTTTTTCATCCTTTATCCCCCCTTTTTTTTCCCGTTATCCCAGTTCACAAATTCTCATAATTTGATCATTGGACCCATAAACAAAAGCCTCTGTTTTGGAGAAGAGGGAAAAAAAAGACACGGAACAGAGAACCAGTAAAGTTTGTTGATGCTGTCTTTTAGCAAAAACCAACGTAGAGTTTTTCATGATGCCCACCAATCTCATGACATGCCCTTTGGACCCTACGCAATGACTTGGAGATAGTAAAAAAAAAACAGGAGTTTCTCTTGAGAAGAAAAAGAAAAGAATAAGAAAACTGCATAACCGAAAAAAACCCACACAACAAACAAGACGAAGCAATTTATGAAGAGACAATCCATCCCACCATCAGCCAAAATAGAGTTTCGTCAATACGCCATGTCCCTTTGCGGTTGTAGTTAAAAATCGTACACAGAGATGATAATATGAGTCTCGGAGAGAGGGGTGAATCCCATCAATAACGCTAAACGATATTTGCTTATGTGTGCAGAAACGCGCGAGGCTTCTTCTTGTCCTCCCACATCCTGCTCTGATTCCGCGCGGCCCTAATGACCCACAATGTCTGGTCTGGGTTTCCTCCGCTAGTGGTAGTTGTTACCCCAGCCGCCACGTGGAGGGTTGCCATAGTAGCCCCCGCCGAAACCTTGTCCGCCATAACCACCGTAGGTGTTCTGGTGACCCTGGGTGCCGGTGGCGCCCATGCCGTAACCAGTACCGGTCTGGTTATGGAGACCGTGTCCCTGGAGATGGTTGGGGTAGCCGTAAGATCCCATACCACCGAGACCGCTCTGTTGGTTCGACTGCGGAGGGGGGAGGCCGCTCTGAGAGGGAGCATTGTTGGTAGCAGAGCCAGGACGAGCGGCACCGCCAAGGGCAGGGCTAGGTCCGGAAGCAGCCTTGGAGTCGCCGAAAGGCTTCAGGTCATCAGAGGCCGAAGGACCGGCACCCGGCTGAGTTCCGGGAGCATTGAAGGACTGGCCGGCCTGAGACTGGTAGCTGGAGCCACCACGACCGAAAGCATCGTGCATTCCACCGAAGCCGCTACCACCGAGACCTTGCTGCTGAGCAGACTGGCCGGAGGCGGTGCGACCATAATCATTCAGGCCACCAGCTCCAACACCAGTCTCACGGTGGAGAGTGGACTGTCCAAAACCGGCAGGGGAGGAAGCGTATCCATGAGGGGCCTGGGGAGACATGCCATACTGGTTGGGCTGGTAACCAAGTCCGCCCTTTCCATAAGGAGCGCCGTAAGCGCCCTGGTTGTACCCGTTGTAGTTCATGTACGCAGAGTAATAAGGGTTAGAGTAGTAAGGGTGGCTGCCGTAGGGACCATACTGATCATGCGGCTGTTGCTGGCCGTGAGTCTGGGCCTGGGTGGTCTGAGCAGTCTGGGCCTGGGTTCCAGCCTGGTTAGGGGTAGGAGTACCGGCCATATCAGAGCCAGAACCGAAGCGATTCTGAGTATGCTGAGCGCCGCTCTGAGGATACTGGCTAAGGTTATCGGCCTGGGGCGCGTTATATCCAAAGCCGCGCTGGGGCTGAGACAGACCGTCTTGCTGTCCCTGAGTGCCCTGTTGCTGGCCAAAGTTGTTTTGGCCGTAGTAGTTGTAACGGCTCTGATCAGCGGTGTAGTACTGAGAGTAATCACTGGGAGCCGAGCTGAATGCGCCGACGGGCTGCTGCTGGTTCTGAGTTTGCGCAACTTGGCCCTGAACGGGGAAGCCAGTCTCGTACTGGGTTTGAGCAGCCACAGCACCAGGCTGTTGGCCGAAAGCATCGAAAGGCTTGGAAGCGCCAAAAGGAGCGGGCTCTTGGGGCGCAGGCTGGCCGAAGCGGCCGAACTGCTGAGTGCTTGGCGCAGTAGGGGGTTGCGTAGCTGCTTCAGCCGGGGTCTTTAGTGAATCATCTACAAGTGACGAGATCGGGAGGTAGTACGCACCCTGAGAAGCGGCCGCGGCGGCAGCAGGCTGGGTCGGGGCCGTAGGGGGTGCGGTAGCGGTAGTGGCTAAAAATGGAATTAGTCGCAAATTTGAGGCATTGGCTAATGAGGGAAGGGTCATACCGGCAGGGCCCGTAGGAGGGAGCGAGGCCGCAGGCTTCTGGGCAGCGAAGGTCTCAGGAACCGGGGCAGGCTGCGCAGGAGGAAGAGAAGCGCGAGGTTGGGTAACAGGAGAGTCCTGAGGAGGCTGAGGACGAGTCTCGGGCTCCTCACGGTCACCATCAATGTCATCCTCCTCGTTCAAGCTGAAAGCGCCGAACTGAACGGCGGCACGGTCGACCTGGTCACGGTTACCAGGCATGCGGACAGGCTCCTGCTGGTCAAGGATTCGGCGGGCATAGGTAGGGGTACGAGTAGATGTGCGATCGGTGGCCTTGGAAGCAGTCGTAGCAAAGCCACTGCCAGGGGCGCGGGAGGTCTGATGTTGCTGCTGAGACGCGGAGTTGGGGGTCGCAGTAGCGCTGGGGCCCTGGGCCCGGGGATCCCAAGAGTCGGCGGCTTCGCTCGCAGCGGTCTCGGTCTCTGGAGGGTGGGAATCATCGGCAACTTGTTCGAGATTCGTTTCGGTAAGTTGATCCTTGGACGGCTTCAAAGCGACTTCGGGAACAACGGGGATAGCGGGGAGGGCAGGCTCGATAGGTACAATAGGCAGCGCGGGGACGGCAGGAGGAGGAGGAGGAGGAGCCTCCTTCTTAGCAGGCTCGGGCGTAGGTTCCTCGACGGGTTGTGGGACTTCGGGCTCAGCTTCAGGTTCAGCCTGGACCTCAGGCTCAACAGGGGTAGGTTCGGCGGCGGGCGGGAGAGGCTCGATAACGGGCTCAGCAGGCTTGGGAGGAGCGACCTCCTTCGGCTTGGGGGTAGGCTTCGGCACAGACTGTCTCAACATGCTAGCCCAGGTCTTCTGCGCTGGCTCAACGGGCTTGGGAGCAACGGGAGCAGGCGCGGCGGCAGGAATCTCGGCGGAAGGCGAGCTCTCCTCGGGCCATCCACTCGCCTCTTCGGTGGGCTTGGGAGCACCCCATACGTTGGCCTCTTCGGTAGGAACTGAAAGCTGCTCGCTCTCCTTGTTCTTGTGGCCGTTGATCGTCGCATTGAGGGGCTTGCCGCGGCCACCGCCCCGACCGCCTCGCTCGGTGGCCCTGCCACGTCCACGTCCGCTGTCTACGCGGCCGCCTCTAACAGGTCTCGTGGATCCAGCGAAGGAATCGGCAGGAGTGGATGTGAAAGTATCGGTCTTCGTCTTGGGCTTGGACACCTTCTTGGGCTTGGTTACCTCGCCCCATTGCGAGATGGTTCCTGTGCAGAAAGAAGCTGGTGTTAGTAACCTAGCAGTAGCAGCAAACAGGGTGCAACACACGGCGGGGCAGCGTGCAGCTCGGAGAAGCCAATGGCTCAGCGCACACGACAGGCACTCGTCTCGACAAGCTGAGACAGGAAGAGCTTGGCCAAGGCAAGCAAGTGGCGGTGGGGTGCAGAGGAGGGATCGGAGTGGGAGTCCGACAACGTACCTTCAGCAATGCGGGTGACAGCGAGGGATTCGTCACCGTCTGTCTCGTTGAGAGCAAATAGAACATCGACGTCCGACCAGTCGGGGAACATCTCCTTGATGATGGCAACTTTGCTGCCATATTGCTTCCTAAGCTGGCCAATCTCGCCCTCGTCCTCTAGAGATGGCAGCGACGACGACTCTGTGGAATCGCCGTTGGTCCTGGTCGCGCTGCGACCTCCCCGAGTCGAAAGACCGCCCCGGCCACCGCGGCCGGAGCCTCTGCCGCGCGCGGCGACGGGTCTGCTCTGTACCTCAGACATTGCTGAGATGTGTATGTGAAAATTGTGTGGTCGTCAAGACGAGTGGGTGGGTAGCGGAGTGGTGGGCGTGTCGCGTCTCTCGAGGGCAGCCAGTCCAGTAGGGGGATGGAGGAGGGGCCGTTTCCCGGGAGAACTAGACAAAAGAAAGTGGGCAGGTAGAAGAGAATAAGATGCGGTGCGCCTCGTGCAACTAAATGTGCCTTTGGGCGGCGGCTTGCGTTGTTGTTGCGATCCGGGTGATGGGATCGAGAGCCGGTGTGGTGGTGATTGACGTGGTGGAAAGGTATTATGGAGAAGGAGGGTGTGTGGGAAGTGGAAGCGAGGCAAAGAAAGCGTAGTCGGATGGATTCAGTTTTTGACGCCTTGTCCCGCCAGAAGCCAGACTGGATTGAGGTGGCCCTTCGCAGAAAGTGGAAATGGGGGAGGAAGGCAGAGCCCAGGCCACCGCCCGCAACCCGCCGCTAAGTACCTACATAGTCACTGGGCTGTAGCGTGGGCACCAGCTGAATACCACCCGAGCCACCACACGTACCGCCTGTAACGAGCGTCACCCGGGGCCATTGCAACTGAGCTGCACCTGACGGACGGGACTGCAACAGCTGCAAAGATGCGCCCACCAGGGGCAACGACACCTCACAGGGCGGGCGGGCTGGCAGGGTGGCATCTCGACGGCGCAAGAATAAACCAAGTGTACCTAGACTACTACTTCAGTTGTAATGGTACATCTGTCTCACTTTGTCCGCCCCGGCTGCATACCTCTACATAGTACTATTGCCAGCAGGCGGGAAGCCGTCTCCCCTTTCTCACTCTCCACTAGGTACCTAGTGTAGTGTCAACAGGTCACGGTCGGTCCAACTCATGGACGTTGTCGATCTAGCTCCAGGGGCAACTGGGAGACTGGACCAGCACACACTCCCCCCGCCATACACTACTTCACCATCGGCGTGGCGCGTCACAACAGGCTGTGGACTTGAAGGGCTGAGGTTATATTGATCAATCTTGTTCCATCTCAAGCTCACATGGCCAGTGTCTCTGTTGTTGTTGTTGTTGTTGTTGTTGTTGTTGTTGTTGTTGCTGTTCAGACTGGAGACTACCATACACTACCAGATGAAGCTATCTGAATCTGATATGCCCTAGCTACCCCATCCATGCTACCTTACGGTAGCTAGGCACGCAAGGCACAGAAACTATCTTACCATATGGCATGCAGGGCGCAAACCGGCATGGCTGCTATCTGATCCCAAATGGAAAAGTTGCGTGCTTTGTTCTCTCTCTCTCTCCCGTCTCCCGGAAAACTGGTACAAATACTTGCACCGAACCGCCGTCGGACAGTCCGCCATGATGGAGTCAAGCGCGGGGATGGGAATTCGCCCCCCTTGCCTCAGGAGGCACGGCGAGACACCTGATGACAGGGCCAGATGGACAAGCTTGGCAAGCCCATCCCAGCACAATGGTTGACTGGCTCGAATGGAGAATGGGGAACCCCTCAAGCCCCTCAGGCCCCTCAGGCCCCTCGCTTGAAAGGCTGGGCTGAGGCGGGCAAGCTGCCCTGGGCAATGTCGAAAGGGGAAGGGAAGCTGGCAATAGCAAAGCTGCCCTTGGGCTTGGCTCGGCGAAGCCAGAGGCTCTGAAAAAAGGTCAGTGGTTCCCGTTGAGCCTGGCATGATCTAATTGACTGCCAGGACTACTGTCAGGCTCAACATTGGGCTTTGCTTTGTTGTCTCTTCCTTCTTTTCTCTCTCCATCGCAAAGACAACGAGACCAACTGTGAAGGATTGGATCCAAGGCACCCTGGAACTTCGACGCGACGCCGGTACGTACTGGCAAACGACGTCAGGGCCGTCCAGGTACAGCTCGAAACAGGCTAGCTCCAGCGACCCCAACCAGCGGGTTTGGTCCGGTTTGGTCGTGGGTTTTGGGAAGTCGATGAGTCACATGACTCAGGTCTCGACGGCTTCAGCTTGTTGGCTCGAGCTTCGTGACGGTCTTGAAGTTCGCGACTAGGTACTACACTAAACATTTGAACTAAGTGTTCGAAAACTAGATATGTGAAAATGTAGGAGTGTCTTGTCGACATTCACGCAAAGCCCTCCGTTTCTGGCCTCTATTTAGCAAACACCCCTTTTCCAACTAGGCCGCTAGATCTAGGTTTGAGATCTACCACATGGGCAACAAACTAACGGTATGGCCTCCTTTGTTAGTGCACTTTGTGTGCATGCAGACCAAGTACCTGTGAAACCGAACCGCACACCAGCACCGTAGCCAGCATGTGTGGTGGCCGACAACCCACCCAAGAGCACGATACTAGAACCACATTTGTGTGATATCCCCAGATAAGGGCGAGTTGGCCACGTAAAAAGGCAATCGTGAAGCAGGTGTGAATGGGAGATGTAATCTAGAGCAAGCTGATGGACGACGTTGTGAACACCTGCCCGCACCATAGTGATGAAGGTACCTATGATAAGGTACACGAAGAGTCAGCGGACCAATCATGTTTTCGCATTGGCTCGTTCTCCCAGAGAAGTGGGTCCTTTCCTGTCGTTGAAGTCAGTGTTCGCATTTCCACTTCCCGTCGCAACGGCCGGGCGCCGGCCAGGCCATGGAGTGACAGCTCCACCTTCAAACACAACCAAACATCGTGAACGACCGACATCGACAACGGAACGACATCATCAGGAGGTCACTGACCACTCAGCCGATCGGCCGTCGACCAGCCCGGCCCCCCCGAACTCCGGAAGCCCAGCTTTTCATCTACACGGCGCCTTTGAATCCGAGACGTACAGTACAATCAACACCAGCGGCACATCATACGATTAACCATGTTCAAGACCAAACCGCTAGGCTCTCTCAAGAGCATCCTCCCGCCAATCCACCAGCCCCTCCCTCTCAACCAGCGCGAATCCCAGAAGCTCCTCAATGTGCTCAAAGCCTCATTTCGAGCCCATCTAGACAGAGAGCACGGATGGACTCCCGATACCAACCAGGTCGCGCCGGCCGCGCCGACAGTCACCTATCTACCCTCCGCCTCTCCCGCCTCCTCCAAAGATATGCCAGCCCGTCCGACGGATAAGCATATGCGCGCCATTCTAGAGAATCCCCTCTTCAACAACAAGGCCTTTGTGTCACGCTCTGTCGCCGCCCCTGCCCCGGCAGTTAGGAACAACCGCAACGAGATCTTCCAGTTGGCCGTGTCCAAGGGCATCATGAACATCCAGCGCGCGCTCGGCTTCCTCCTGGCCGTGCAGAACGACATCCAACTCTCCGCCGCCGTCTCCGTCACCCAGAGCATGAAGGAATCCGGCGCCGGCCTGCTCGTCCTGCGCTGGCTGCGCTCATCGGGCGAGGAGCGCTCGCTCAGCTTCCTCGGCAACCGCACCTTCACCCGTCTTCTGCTGCGCTACATGGTAGCCGAAGGTGTGGATGAGCTCGCCTGGTCCTGGTTCCAGCGGCTGTTGAACGAGCCCGCGCTCACCACGGGTAATCCCGAGCGGGCCGCCTACCCCGCCGTCCTCCTGGACAGCCTCATCATGGCCAAGTCCCAGGCCATCGAGCTGGACGAGGCATACACGTCCATGCTGCGCGGCAAGGAGGTTATCGACAACACCTCGGCCTCCACCCAGCACCTCGTCCAGGCCTGGCGCAAACTTTGCTGGCAAACCACGGGGCAGTCGTACAAGCACCAGATCCCGCCCGCTTCCTTGTTCGAGTCCTTCGTCGCCGTCCACGACAAGCTGCCCAAGCCCTTGCCCATGTCGGTGGCGCATCTGACGCTGTATCATCCTACGAAACCGTCGTCAAAACTGGCGCTGGAGTATCTCAAGAATGACCATGTGTGGAATGTCAAGCTGTCAAACTGCAAGTCGGACAATCCCGAGTCAAGATTCATTACCAGCCTGGCGTCGTTGACGCTAGATACGATACAGAATCTGATGCAGACCGGAAGGTTTACGGAGGCGCAGAAGTTGATGGAGCGGTTCAAGACGCATTTGGCGCCGATAGGGCCGCATCTTGGGGCTATTGCTTTTTGATGATTGCATCTGTGGTGATGCTTGTTTCTTTTCTGTTTGCTTCTCCCATTTCACGTCCTTTTTCTTGAACGCATATTCTCCTTGCATGAAAACCCACTACCCCGAGATATCATGAGGGAATGATTGGTAAGTACCTGCCTAGCCACTTACGGTTTCCTTTCTTGTTTTTGTTTCTGGGCTATCTCATGGTTCTGTACAAATGGGGCGTCTCTTTCTTTTCTTTTTTTCTTCTTTTCATCTTTCAAAGCGTCATGCATTTCGACGGGTAGATACCAACGCAAGCTTATGAACAAATAACATATTATTATCCCATGGCACCAGGTCCATTAGGGCAGGTATTAGTAATATTGTGTACAGAAACATGTAAAGACAGGCACTTTTTTACAATAATGGGTATCAAGCAAAGCTATTCAACGAGCGAGCAACCGTAATAGCTTGAAGAAGAAGAGAAGAAGAAGAAGAGATCAAAAATCAGCCAGTGATAACAACAAATTCAACCATCTTTGCGTGTGCGCATGCACGAGTCCTTTTCTTCAGTCAATCATCCCAACTCTCGCTCCCCTTCATCATAAAAGAAAAAAAGAAAAAAAAGAAGCTCAAGACCCCCGTCTCGCCTGACCTTCCCCCCTCTGCACACCACCCCCATTCTTCTCATCCAACTCCTCCTCCAACCCATTAACCACCCTCAACGCCCTCCTCGGTCTCATCACCACACTAAAGAAACTCGGCTCCACGCCCTCCAATAGCCTCTCCGTCGAGGATACACTACCCCTTCCTTCATCGTAGAACTCCCCTCCGTCACCCGCAAGATCTTCTTCGTGAGCATTGATAACCTTCCCAGGGACAGGACTTGGATCACTACTTAAAGTAGCAGGCGTGGTTCCCGTGCCAGAACCCAGCCCGGACAAGGAGACTTCAGTCCACGGTGAAGAACCAGGGGTTCCGAACGATGAAATCAGACCACCACCACCACCACTACTTGATGCTGCTAGCATAGATACAGGTGGCATAGGCGGGTATTGAGCGTGCGTTGACGAGCCTAGGGATGGACGGGGTAAGTTGCTACCAGCGCCACGAGAAGCAGTGTGCGAAGTGCGACTGCTTCCGTACCCAGATTCGTGGCTTTGCGGGTCACCTCCGCCGCCGCCACCGCCGCCGCCGTTTTCAAAGAGCATCTTGGGTTCCATGGAGGGGATACCGCCGTAGCCGTGATTATTGGAGGAGTAGGAGATGGAGCTGTTCAAGGAAATTGGTCTGTTGCTGGCTGCTGCTCCGTTGGAGTTAAGGGGGTCGGTAACAGCAGACTTGCGGCTCTGCTTGCTAGTCTTTCTTCCGACGCTGCCGAACCCGAAAAAGGCCGCTAGACCGGAGGCGGTCGAGGCTCCCGGGTGATTAGGGGTGGAGTACCTATTGAGCACGGCCAAATAGCTCTTGTAGGCGCGTACCTGGCGGCGATACAGCCAGGCGCAGTACCCGAGGTAGATGGCGAGAAGACCCAAGAGGCCGGCGATGACGCCCGCAGCGATGAGCCCCGCCTTGCGATCCTTGCCTGTTGTTTCAGTGTTGGGATCGCTCGGGTCTCCAGGTGTGGCTGTGGTGGTGGCTCCTGGACCCCATGCAGTGGTGGTGACGGTTAAGACCGGCGACTTGCCGGTTGCGAAGGGCCCGGCAGTGGCGGAGCCCGCGGCGGGTTGGGTGGCTGTGGCGCCGCCGGAGCCGGAGCCGCCGATGATGCTGGCGACGGGCGCAGGGACTTGGTAGCCGAAGGAGTTCCCCAGGACGGAGTTTTCCGGGTGGAGGTCGGGGTCGTGGTTGAGAGCTTTGAATGAGGATTGCCATGTGAGGGAGGTGGCGTTGAAGACGTAGATGCCGGGAGAGTCGCATGTGTTGCCGCCGGTGTAGCCGCCGACAACGATCATCTGGCCATCACGGAGGTGGCAGGCGTGGCCGGCGCGGGCCGAAGGTTTGTGTTCATCGTCGTTGTCGTCCGACACTTTCATCCAGGTGAAAGATGGGATGGAAAGAATGTACATGTCTGAGTATTGCGTTTGACCTTTCTGTTGGGTGTTGGTACCGGACAGTCTCGACTAAGGCATGAACACTGATGGAGCACTTACAGCTGGCTGAAGATTCTGACCGCCGAACACATAGATTTGAAAACTTGAGAAATCCTGTGCTGAAGCAATAACGGCACAGAGATTAACCCGTACTGATGGCGCATCTCCGCTGGTCCTCTGGTGGTACCATTCCGAGCTGGCGATATCATAGACATCCAAAACCTCGAGGTTGTCGGAAAACTCATCAGCTGTACCACCCGCTAGGCCGATAAGGATACCCTTTTCACCCCAGCCTGGCACATATACCAATGCACCATCTGCGCGTTCGTGGAAAGCTTGATTTGTTTGGAGACCGCCTTCGGTGATATTCCTAAAGGCGCCCCATTCGCCTGCTCCCCTGTCCTCTAACCCGTAAACTGCCTCGTTGTTATATCCTGGATGTGTAAACTCGAGGAGGCTCTTCAAATAAACCCGAGAAATCTGATTCGACCATCCAGGCGTTGTTGCGAGGTCGAGATGGCCACCAAAATACCAGCTTAGTCCCAGTTCAGGCACCGAGATCCCGGAACCCTCAGCTGACCTCTGGACAAGCAGGTCGCCCTGAGTTGAGTACTTGCCGGCAGAAGTTTTTGGTTGCTTGTACTCTGTCCACTGTTGGTTCTTGATGTCGTACTTCCAAACTGACTCCTCGGTAGGCTCGACATAGGGGTTATCGGCGAATTCACCGCCGTACAGGTAAAGATTGTTGTAGTCATTCCAGAGGTATCCCAAGGACACAGCAGGAGGCCCTGAAGGCCTGGGTAGTCCCCGCAGCCGTGGTGAACCGGTATCCCATGACTTTGTGAGATCCAGAACGTAAAAGTCGTTATCTAGCACGCCATTAGAGACGTTTGTGGTAGCTGGAAGACACTGAGGGATCATGGCTTACTCCAGGTATCTGTAGTCTGGTCTGGTGATGTTTTGGACTGACCACCATAGAGGTACAATGTCCCATTGACCGAGGCGCCTTGTACGTGCACATGTCAGTAGCTTCTCAAATATGTCAGGGGCACAAATCACTCACTCTGTCCTGCCCATCTCGCGCAATAATCGGTTGAGCTATCTGTTCTTGTTTCAAGGATAGGGCCGCTTGGCTGTACCACTTCTCGTATCACTCCAGCATCAGCCCCACTGAGTGACACCTTTTCACGGCCGTTGTAATAACTGAAGCCCGGTATGACCACGGCAATGAACAAGGCAAGCGTTGCAAGTCTGGTAAAGCTCGACATGCCAGGAGGTGGCGCACTGGCAGTCGAGCTGATGCGTGGTCTTCTTCCCGGAGTAAGCTTCGAATACCAAGGTCTTCCAGACGAGGGCGATGTTGGTGTGGTTGGCGACTTCATGGACCCAGATTGCCTGTAACTGGTGCCGTCGTCACTCTCGTCGTCTATACGAAGTCCGGTGATCTCGCCAAACTCTCTTTCGCCCGGGTAGTGGTGGAAAGGTTGATCGGAGTCTATGTCCAATTCTTTGAATACTGACTTCCTGCCCTTCTTGATTTTCCCTGTCATCAGAGAAAGTGAAGGATGTCTGTCGGAGCCTTCACGGTTTCGACCATGAGTGTGATTGTGGGGGAACCTGGGGCGAACATGGTGAAAGGAAGGCGTCTCGGGGTTCGAGGGGCATTTTGATAGTTTCACGAATGACATGGTAACAACGATACGCAGGTACGCCAACCACAGTATCTGGAGTCATGAATTACCAACCGTCGACGACAGTATGAAGACTTGGAAGTTTTCGCCCGGATAGACAAGGAGACGAGGTCGCCACATGCAACACTGGGGAAGAGGGGTGGTTTGGGTGTGGCTACCGCAGGCAAATGAAGTCACGATCGAATTCTGATTTGGTGAAAAATCGATGATATGCGCACCGTGTGCAATGAACGGAATACTGGAGGAGGACTTGCAGATCTGAAGACAGAGAAGTGTCGTCTTGGTGGTGGTGGTAGTGATGTTGTTGTACCTTTAAGTCTCGAGGAGAGGCGATGAACCTTGAGAACAAACAAACCCGCAGTGGAGAAAATAGGGGGAAAAGACGTTTAGCGGTCAAGATGCTTAACTTGATGCCGAAATTATCTTCGCTTTCATTCGAATCCCGCCCTTGAGACCTTGGTCATCTAGAAGGTTCAGGTTCCAGGTTGTGGACGCATTGAGGGAACATCATAGCCTCGCCGTGGGCAAGGCCAGGTAGGTAGAGGCTAGGTACTAACTATGGCCCAAAGGGACCAGAAGAACGGAAGGCCACTAAAAAGAGTGCATTCTAGCTGCACAATTCCTGCATTTGGCGGCATATGAGAAGTGGTATTGGTGCCCATCTCGATCCAAGCATGACCTTGACGTTCGAATTTGCATCCAGAAAAGCCTATTCGATGGTTCAGTGTCCCAACAACGGATACTGGAACAAAACTTGGAAATCCGATGTCGAGCTGCCGGATTGGTGATACCGTCCTGGACGGGCCGTCAACCTGTCCTGTCAACGTTGAGCCAGGAACCGGATGTGGTGATTGCGCCGATTGGCTGGGAGATGGTAGTGATCGGGTGGATGACCTCATGTTCATCATTCCGGGGTTTCAAACTCGCGCTTGCACTGTCGCTTGCGCTGCCAGGCCTTTGGAGGTGGGCGGAATGCCCTGGCTACTTGTAGATGCCCATGCGATTCCCCATGCGATGCACTTGCACTTCGGCCGGTAGCGTTTCGCAACGGCTGAACGGGGTTTGAGTCGCATGGGTCGAATTCGGGGACTTGCCTTGTTCTTCGAGCGGGGCTGGGGAAGGACAGACTTGGGGGTTCGATGGTCTCGACTTCTCAAGCAAAGAAAGATGGGAGAAACCCCGGTAAAGTCTGGGGAAGATCGTCCTCAGATCGTGTGGCGGTGCATATAGTTTGAATGTGGCTGGTGCCAGCCTCCTTCTACGTTACTAGTTAGTTCTCCTCCACAACTTGAGTTCATCCGTCTGCTTCTGCCTATTATCGGACAATGCCTTCGGATGTACTCAGGTGCGAGCAAGCGAGCTGTCTGTTGTCGATGATCCAGAAAGCCTCAAATTTGCTCGGCCTTGGGGAGGACAAGCGATTCAGTTATTACTAACCTGTGGCGTGGCAGAGTTCATCGAGCTCTAACAGTTCCAAATCACCACCGTAATGCGGGACTCGGACTCCTACCTACAGGGACGAGGAAACATGGCAATAGATAGATCAGTCAATAAGCCCGCTCCAAGTTGTGATAAGGTGGTATACACGAAACTCAAGGGTACAATGAACAAACACAGAACGGGTGAATGGGAGCAACAGTAACTGAACAGATTGATGCCAAGAAATAGCTCAAGACAACGGCAAATTTCGTCGTTCAGGGGTCGCGATTATGATTATGGTTTGCATGACAAAGACTAACCTTTCACCAAGCGCTATTGAGATTTAATATCAGATACTATACTTCTTTTACAAGTGACAAATTACCACCGTCTTGGAGTTGGGTCTTCACTTGGAAACACACCACCCAGAATGAAATTCTCGAATCTGCCCCCCAAGCCTCCCTCCAGACAAATCCGCGCCCTCCAGGAGGATGATGGCACAACAATCACGGTCTACCAAGCCTACCCATCCACCATCGCCACAGCCGCCGTCATTCATCAAAGACTCGATGCAAGCCCCGAGTTTCGCACCACCCGTATGACCTGGATCAAGCCCAGCTGGGCCTGGATGCTCTACCGCTCCGGATATTCTTACAAAGATCCTGGACAGGAGCGCATATTGGCTATCAAGATGAAGCGGGAGGATTTTCTGGGGTTGTTGGGAAGGGGAGTCTTGACTCATGGTACTGCTCCTCCTCGTCCCGGGCCACAGCAGGGGCAGGGAATAACAAGTGATGCTCAAGGACGAACAAGCGGGGAGAGAGGAGAGGAAGCAGCGCCCAAAGAAAGTACCAGGGAAAGCAAGAGGAAAGACAGGTTACAGTCGCTTGACGTCAAAATCCAATGGGATCCCGAGCGGACGGTGCGGCTGCATAGTTTGAACTATCGCAGTATTCAGATTGGGATACCAGCTGGGTTGATCAGAGAGTGGGCGCAGGATATGATTGTGAACATTGAGGATGTTACAGACAAAGCGAGAACGTTGAAGAAAATACTTGATGAGAGGCCAGATGTGAATGATGAGGAATTGGCTGAATTAGGGCTGATCCCAAAGGAGACTGAGTTTGAGGTGCCAGTCGAGTTGAGAAGTCGATTAGGGATGTATCATGATGGGTTGGTGATGGCGTCGGACCCGTAGAAGGAGTGCATGTGTGAGGTGTACTTGGTGGACGAGACAATGGGGTCGATGTTCGAAGTTCCTCTTCTGCACGAAGGGTTTGTGCTCGGTGTCCGCGAGGGTGCTGGCCGTCTCGGCCAAGAATAGGGCGGAGAGAGATCGCATTTCCCCAAGGGATATGCGGTGTCCATACTATTGAAGAAATGGGTCAGGAGCGCAAATGGGGGCAGGAACGCAGTGAAAACGGGATAACATCTCAAATAGTAGCTTGAGTAACTCGGCAGTTGACTGTGGTTTGAGAAACCAAAGTTCTGGAACAGTCGATAATAAGAATATTCAAGCGCAAGAAATACTCGCATCCTTCATGACCCCAAAGCGTATTTACCGAATATGCCAGACTTGAGATTGTTCAAGGTCATTGGCTCCCATGCCACCCTTTGAATCGGTTGTTGGTACGCCATTCTTAAGTAACCAACACTCGCCATTATATCAAGTACCGAATCATGCGCCTCTGTCTTCGAGAGTATCCTGTGGGCATATCGTCCAACATGTTATAGAGTGATACTCTGGAATACCGGAGCGATCCGTACCCCGCGGTGAACACTTTTGCCCATGCTGTCCATTCCGTCCTGTGGTTGTTTTCATTTCTCGTCACGCTCGCACGCTCGAGCAGTCTATTCGGCCTTGTCCTCATCGCCAACAGCCACCAGCTTGCCAACAACAAGGTACTTCTCAAGAAACCTTTCCTCCCAGCCCTGGAGCGCTTCCAGTTGATCCTTGTCGAGATCGCTCAGAGTGTCGAGCGGGCCGTCAAGGTCCTTGGTAAGCATCTCCTCGTCAAAGCTACCGCAGGCGAGACCGCGGGAGGCATCGCGACCGGCAAAGTTAGCGTAGGGACCACCGGGTCCATAGAAGTTGCGGCCGCGAGTGACATCGAAGACACGACCACGCACGGCCAGGTAAACGGGCATGTCTTTCTCGCCGTTGTACGGCAGCAGCGTCCTCGGGGTGAAGGTTTTGAACACGACGGCGGGCTCTTCCTTGGGAATGGTGGCCGGGGTATGTGGCCTCAGCCAGCTGTATGCTGTGTAGAGAAGCATGCCGAGGAGGACGAGGTTGAGGGGGGTGACAAAGGACCTGCGCGCGGGAGGGTTATGTCAATTAGCGCCATCAGAAACGTTAAAGCAGTAGAAGCGATTGTGATGGGGAAACTCTTACTCGGCATTGCCGGTTTGCTTGGCGGCTTCTTGGGCCATTCTGTTCTCGACGTAGTCCATGGCTGTGAGATTGGTGGTTTGCGATGTTGCTTCAGGCTATGGCTGGTGTTATCGTCAACGAACAATGAGCAGGCGATGTGTTCTCCCCAACAATGCCACTGTCACTGTGAGCTGTGATGATGGATGCAACTGAAGTTGCTGCTGGCGCCGGGGGGCGGCAGTGACGGGTCAGCCGAGGGTGGGGCTACCTCTGAGGCCTCTGCCCATTGAACGGCAGTTCCAATGACCTACACTACCTCTACTGTATAATTTCGGGGCGTTCGATTTTAGGTTTCCTGGAAACCAGGCATAATTCTGTCAGCATACTGCCCAAATATTGTGCACTTTATGCTCGCAAAAAAATAGTGGAGGAGACATATTGCTACCCTGAGGTACTGTAAATTCGATTTCTCTTTTTTCTCTGCCTTTTCCTACGTATTCTTTCGTTGGCGCTGGAGGGTGGAGATATTTAAAATCTCCGTCTTGTGTACAATTTCTGGCAGACATGATTGTTGCGGTATGCTTTAGGTACAGTTTATGCCTGGTTTCCCTGAAAGTTACCCTAAAAACGATCGCCCTGAAATTATACGGTACAATGGAAGAAGGTACATGGAACCCTCTGGTCTGCCATGGCTCGCGGGTGCACGCCCGGTGTCGGCATTCCATCCGCCGCTTAGGCTCCCGGCCCCCCGCAAGGGAATGGAGCCGAGACCTTCACCACCTGGGACTGGACTTCCTTCACTGCAACGGAGGGAGGATCAGAGCTAAGTACAGGGCCCTGAATTGATGTCCCCTCCCCCCTGCTGCTGCCTTTCCTCACGAATCACCAAAGCTTCTCACAAACTTCCACTTCCATTTTTGTTCCTCAACCCACGCTAGAGGTATACATGCTACATATGTACCCACGCAACCCCTCCAGACCCTCTTGGAGGCGTGGTGTCTGCATCATGCGTTCCTGCGATGGACCCTCATCCAGCTGAGATCATATCATCCTCCTTTGTGGGGTTTTCTAGCATTAATGAAGGCAGGCAAAAAGGAGTCGTGATTCATGATCTCCTGGATTCAGGCCTACAGAGTCCCTGACTGGCATTCCTCTGTCTCAATCAGTCTCTTGACTTTGACATGTACCTTGTCGGTCTCTCATTGATGGGGATCTAGATTATCACCCGGGAGTCTACGGGAGTGATCCGGTAATGTCTGGATTGTTCTGATTGACGATATTGCTAATCACCATCAAGGAACAGAGATGTGTATGGAGGGCGAGGTCATGGAGATTTTTCCATTTGAGTTTACTATGGTGAGATGGGTAACAAGTTGAACCGTCACGTCACTGCCGATCTCTGGCACTCGACCGAGTGTGGCCATACACAGTACAGAGTCAAGAAGCTTTGCTTGTAAGTACTGGTCCGTGTCCGGTACCTGACAGGGAGGTAAAGCTTCTGCTCGCAATTCAATCACAATACAACCTAACTTCCAGACGGATCGAACCATGGTTCCCGCAGGACTGGAAGGAAAGCTACAAAACAACCTCATCATCGCCAACATCAAAGATGGGCGGGGAAGGTGCGTCAAAATGAGCCGAGGGGAAGCACCGCCACAAACTACGACCAGAATTTACCTAGGTGGTTCTGGCCCTCGGAGCCTGGGTCCAGCTTGCCCGTCGACCCCGTTCCCCCCACTTGCACTAGTATCTTCAAGTTCCAGGTTAGTACGTAGTGTATTACCTGCAGTCCGAAGATCAAGACGTCAGTCGGAGTCCTCATTCACGAAGACATAGAGGTATGATGTCTGACATGGTCTTGCCTTGGCTTCTCGTACGCTGGTTGCACAGCACCTACCTAAGTGGTCGACCCCAGCTCAGCTGAGAACTGGAGACAAATCCCCTCCGCGATTCATCGGACTCATCTCGTCATCTCCACCCCCCCCTCGTCCTAGTAGATTACAGACTATCCTCCTCTAGTATCACATACTATCAAACACTATATAAGCATCTGTACATCTTCCAGCAGCCCTTCTGTTTCTAGGTCCCCGCCATCTTCCAAGTCCCCTCATCAACCTCAATCACATCATCCCTTCCATCATTTTTTCTCTTCTTAATCCAAATCAGCAAAGATGTCCTACAACAACTTTGGCGAGCGTGACAGCGAGTTCGGCTCCCAGCGTGGTGAGTTCGGCTCCGAGCGCGAGAATGAGAGACGGGGCGGGTATGGCCAGGGCTCCTCCAACTACGGCTCTGAGGACCGTGACAACGAGTACGGTTCTTCCAACTATGGCTCCAACAACCAGAGCTATAAGAATGACGCCGGCTACAAGGGCAACGCCGATGGTGACGAGCCTTCCCGCTACGGCTCCAGCAACACCTATGGCTCCGAGAATAAGCACAGCGGCTATGGCTCTAGCAACAACAACAACAACAACAGCTACGGCTCTGACAACAAGCAGAACAACTCTTCTGGTGACGGCGGTTTCGTTGGCAAGCTTACTGGTTTCATGGGCGGCTCCCAGAACAAGAACGACAACGACAACCAGCAGCAGTCCTCCAACAACGAATCCAAAGGCGGTTTTATGAACGCCTTCAACAACATGGCCGGTGGTGGTGCCAAGGGTGAGAAGAACGAGGATCTCCTGGACAAGGGTAAGTCAACTCACATTTTTTCACTGATCCCTATCGTGGAACAATACCCTAACCAAATATCTCTTTTCACAACAGGCATCGACTTTGTCCAGGAAAAGTTCCTCGGCCAGGGCCCTCAAAACAACGAGAGCGCCGTCGAGCAGGCTAAGGACAAGATGATTGCCCAGACCATCCGCGATGGCTACAAGAGCTCTACTGGCAATGAGTTCCCTATCAAGAGCAAGGATGACAATAACTCGGGCAACGAGAAGAAGTTTGGTCTTTTCTAAACCGATTAGGTCTTGATGTCCAAGCAAAGGAAAAAGGCATGGTTTGTTTATGGTGATTGGGTTAATACTCTTTGATGGCAGAGAGTGGAAATTAGATACTTGAGTATCGTCACGAGTTTACGACATTTCTAATACCTACCGGAAAGGAGACAAGATAAGTCCCTTAGTTTCTCTCACGTCCCTGAAGTTTCTCTCTCTCTTGATGAACATTGTTTGCGATGTCGAATTGAATTTAGCTCTTGTACTCGTTCCTCGTTCTCTAGTTTATTTCCCGGAGCTATCCGTCCATCATGCCTTCTTAGCTCCACTCCTCTCCTTAGCAGCCGAAGCCGTCGTGGCCATACTAGCCATAAGCTCGGCATTTCTCGCCATCGCCTCAAACCTAATGGCTTCTTTCTCCGTGTAACTCTTGGTCTTGGCGTCGGTCGAAGTCGCCCGCGCGGCAGTGAAGTCGCGAGTGATGTCCCGGAGCTCGGAAGCGTTGGAACGCCAAGAGGCTGCCATTGAGGAGCTGGAGTGTGGGTTGGAACTTGTACTGCAACCAGAGTTAAGGTTGGCAGATTTGGAACGAGAGTTGGAGGAGTTGGAAGAGTTGGAAGAGCTGGGGTTAGATCTGTCGGGGCTGGTGACGTAGAAAGAGAACTCGGGGGCTTTGTGGGGGTGTGGCATTTTTCTGATTGTGTTGTTTTCGAAGACGATGTGAAATCTGTAGACGCGTGGTGTCGAGGGAGTTGTTACGTATAACTGGAGGCATGGGATTGGGTGGGGATGTGAGATCACTTATACTTGTGTCAGTCTGGCGGCATCATTCAAAATTAGAGGCTTTGGGGAAAGGGCCCATGAGGACAGCACGGCTGTGTAGTGGTGTGTTCTTTGTGGCATGATGGCAACATCATTGAGTGGCTAGCGGGCTGGTGACAATCTTCTTTGTGTGGGTGTTTTTGGGGTTTATGGCTTTCTTACCGGGGAAGGCGGATCTTTTCGCGGATCCTTTCCGAGTTTCCTTTTCTTTGTCAGTGGTTCCCCGTTACTGTCACTGCCACTGCTTTCGAGTGGATTTTGCGCTTTGACTGTTGGCCGATGATGCTGCTGGTGTTAAGGAGCCGTGACTTGAAAGGAACATGCCGTTGTAACTGTCGAGTGACTTGGGAACGGGTACACTATCCGGCTTCGAAGTCCATCACCACGTTGACAGCGACTTCTCTACGGAAGACACGAGGGGGACCTGAAACACGAGTCAGTTTCAGTTCCTATAGAGAGGCCTGGTGTAGCTTGCTACTTAGGCCACCAACACAAGATCACGATCTTTGTTCATCATGCACAGCCCACTTAGTCCACAGGTTCAACCTACTACAAGTCTCTGGTGATTCCCGCAAGGATAGTAGTACCTGGATTCGAAGGTCGTTCTATCGTTGTTCGTAGATGCAGGGATCCCAAACAGCCGTTACGAAATGCTGTTTAATATGCAGGTTTGCCGTGGCAGTCTTCAAGTCCCCTGTATGGTATCAGAGGTAAAGCAGGTTGGTGTGGGGGAAGAACGTGTCGGTTCGATTCGATGCGATGCGGCTCGTCCATAAATAAGTGGGATCCCGGGCTCCGGATTGAACTCCGTCGATGCAACGTCCGGTCTCGGAAAGTCCGTCCGAGAACCATCAAGGATGCATGGCCTTTCTTTTGTAAGGCTGAAGGTGCAGTGGCAACACGGGGGAAGGTGGGGAACTCCCCTGTTCCAAGGGAAGGGCGTGTTCGTCGACCTGGAAATCAGGATTCGGAAATGGTTTTGGAAGTCGAGAGATACACTACCTACAAAGCCGTCAAAAGCATTCTGCCCGTGACCACCATATCTGAAACTATCCGTCTCAACTAAGAGCTTTGGAAATCGGACTTGGAATTTTGGTCGCCAAGTCTAGCCCTTCGACGGCGACGAGGCTCATATCAAGCGCTAGAAATTGTAAGCCATTTGCAGGTCCAATGAGCAGTTGGAAGTTATTAGTAAAAAGTGCTTCCAAAAAGGGACTTTGATCAAAAATCAGCCCGTTTCTCTCGAAGTACCTGACACGGACCATATCCCCAAGAAAAATCATTTCCTCTTCTGAGACAAGTCCATTCATTCCAGGTCGACGAACACGCCCTAATAAGCGGTCCGCCTCGAGTCGCTACCTCTACGTACTTAAGGTTATGTGGGGCTCAGCAGCTGGGGGTCAAGGCGTCCAGGTTGGATGGCGGGAAGCAGGACCGCCATGCAGTCGGGTTCCTTGGTGCCTGCTGAGGTGTCACTGGGACCATAGCGATTAGGGCCAATCCTACAGCGGCTGTTTGCCAGTGTTACGTACCTCTACAGGTCAAACCGCAACCGTCAGCCAAACAGCCGGAGCCGGCCCGTCACAGTCAGGTCTTCCCTTGAGGGTTTCCACTTATCTGCGACTCAACAACAGGCAGCCGGACTGGGCCTTTCCCACTTCCATTCTCTTTCTCTTTCTTTTTTTTTTTTTTCTCAGGACTCCGCGCCTCGCCCCTTCGTCCACGCACATCTTGTCAACCCGTCACTGCCTGTCGCTCGCTCGCTCGCTCGCCGTGCTCAACCACAAATCATCGAAAGAACGCTGCCAACAGAATTCTTTTGTCGTTGAAGTCGGAACCAAGGAATTCGATTTCGACCGCTTTCCCGTAGGTTCTGTCGCGCTCGATCTGAAGTCCATCGAAGCATCTGTAATCCCCGACGATAATACCTCCAGCGTACCGACCGTGACCCGACTGTTCTGTTCTGCGGCGACCTCACTCGAGTGCCTCCTCGGACGCCTTCACTGGTAAACCAGAGCAGTCACGCCCAAACTCAGACAAGCCCATTTGCAACAAAGGGCTTTGATCTCTCGTCCAAAGCGACGCACCAAATCCATCGAAATTCGGGCGTCGCGCCACCTTCCCCGCCTTCGACATCTGTTCGACCATTTTTTATTTTCCGGCTTCTGGATCCGCTGCAGAAACTTGAACCCGCAGTTCACCTGGGTCACGACGATTTTCCCATTTCCTCCAGATAGTCCAAATACACAGTACCGTTGAACAACGCCCAAAATGACCGATTTCATTATTCCCAAGCCTCCGCAACAGGAGAAGTTCAAGGAGAATCTCCAGAATCTCCTCATGTGCCCGGAGTGCAAGGAAGATCCGCCTCACCTTGTCGAAGAGTTCTCGTCAGGAGACATGGTTTGCGGCTCCTGCGGTCTTGTGCTGGGCGAGCGCATCATCGATACCCGCTCCGAGTGGCGTACTTTCTCCAACGACGACCAGGGCAACGATGACCCCTCTCGTGTTGGTGATGGCCCCAACCAGCTGATCGATGGTGACCAGCTCCAGACCACTATCGCGTTCGATGGAAAAAACGGCAAGAACCTGTCCCACCTTCAGAACAAGATCACTCAGGATAAGAACTCCAAGCAGCTTATGCAGGCCTATCGCGATATTCAGGGCTTGACAGACAGCATCAATGCTGGTACCCAGGTGGCAAATGCTGCCAAGCACATTTACAAGCTCGTCGAGGACAACAAGGCCCTCAAGGGCAAGTCTCAGGAAGCCATCACCGCTGGCTGCATCTTCATTGCATGCCGCCAAACGGGAGTTCCGCGTACGTTCCGTGAGATCTACAGCCTGACCAAGGTTTCGAAGAAGGAGATTGGTAGGGTTTTCAAGCAGTTGGAATCCTTCCTCCAGAAGATCGGAGGCGAGGAGCATGCAATCACGACCAGCATCCCCACCTTCAACCAGCAATACCAGGGCAAGGGATCTACTACAGCTACCGAGCTTTGCGCTCGTTATTGCAGCAACCTCAACTTCCGCAACTCAGTTGCAGTCGAGGACGTTGCCCGCCAGTTGGCCGACAAGACCAGCACTATTTCGGAGCTGGCTGGCCGTTCTCCCCTTTCCGTTGCCGCTGCGTGTATCTACATGGCATCCCACATCAGGAACGAGTCACGTACGTCCAAGGACATTGCTGCAGTGGCTGGTGTTAGCGACGGAACCGTCAAAACAGCTTATCGTCTCCTCTATAACAAGAAGGACAAGCTGCTTGAGGAGATCTTCCCTGAGGGAGTGCCAAACCTCGACAAGCTTCCTGCGAACTAGGGGCCTCGGGTGCGCGGGTAGTTTGGATAGAGCGTTGGCTCTTGGTGGGCGGCTCCGCTTCTTAATTTCCACGGGACAGAATCGCGGCGTGACAGCATTGCGTTTTCTTAAGCTTGACAGGGTGGTCAGCCTCACTGAGATGACAAGGTTATTCTACTGAGAACGTGGTGGCTTTTGAACTTTGGTTGACGGGCAAAAGACGATCCACAGGCACGTCCGGATTTTCGAGAAGCTTGGAAGCATATTGGTGGTCGGAAGAGAAGCAGGTTATCGTATGCCCAAGATAGGGCTGGTTACTGCGGAGGCTGGTCGCAGTGCGGCAGGACAAACGGGCCTGGCACACTATGAGCATAAAATGGGAAACGAGGTTAGATCGATCAGCTTCTACCTAGGCATATCGGAAGGACATTTGCGGGTTTGAAAGCTGATCTTACCTCGAGGCATTCAGGGGAATTCTTTCGTTACTTGCTATTCGACTTGGGCACCGACAGGGACTTGGGGAATCAAGATAGTTAATACAAGATATCAATACTCCCCATTTGGAAAACATGAGAATGTGTCCATAAGCTGGAATCCAGGACTTCAAAGGGCCCGGGATGACTTACACAGTCAGTACAGTACTTGGTTTGTTTGGTGGGCATTTATTTGGTTGAAGGGCTCTGTCGTCGCACCGTAAAGAAAATCACAGTGCGCTTGATCGATACACTGTACACGCCAAGTGGGTCAATGGGCAGTCGCTTCACAGGCAAACCACCACTGCACTAGCAGGGCACTGACTGCAGCGGCTTCACGTCTCCCACCTCTCAACCGCGTCTCAGTAATTTTGACATCGTCACCTCCAAACCCCAAACGCAACTCGACCGTCCGCCTTACTCTGCGCCTCCACTTCAAACCACAATCACAGCTTATCACCAAGCATACAATACGTTACCTTCGAAATCATGCCTTCCCGGCGATCAGGCCGCGCAGCCGCGAAACGCGCACAGCAGGCCCTCGGTAAGTTACTCGATTTCATCATCGTTTATCATTTGGCATTTCCTCCCTCCCTTTGCCTGCACATTTAAATGTATTCCATACATTGTGATCCACTCCAACGAAAGCAGTTGCCACGCGCAAATCCTTCTATTTCAAACAAGCAGTTGCTTATCAAAGCCATGCACAACCAGAAAGCACCCCAAAGACATTCGAAGGCCTAGACGACGAGGATGAGCCTATGCCCGATGCCGATCAAGACGACGCCGAACCATCACAACGAGACGGAGAGGATGATGTCGAGAAGGATGATGAGTCGGGTGGTGACGGACACGAGGAAGAGGAAGCCCCAGAGGAAGACGAGTCGGGCAAGAGCCCAAGCCCTCCCCCAGAGCCTGTCATCCGTCGCCGACGCTTGGGGCGACCACCCAAGAACCGACCTCCCGACTGGGACACTCTGCCGATCGAACCCCCCAATCGTGATGAAAACGCTCCTCGCCGTCGCGGTCGCGGAGGATGGAGAGGCAGAGGCGGTCGCAAGGGCCAGCATTTCCAACCAACCCAGCAATCCATTGACAAAGATGGTACCGTTCTCGACATTATCAACGACGAGGTGGACCTTCCCGAGGACCCGGAGGGTGAGAAGAAGGTCGATAAGCTAGGAAATCTTCAGGATGGCCGCGAGTATCGTTGCCGCACATTCACCGTCCTCGGCCGTGGAGATCGTCTATACATGCTTTCGACCGAGCCAGCACGTTGTGTCGGCTTCAGAGACTCGTATCTCTTTTTCACGAAACACAGAAAACTCTACAAGATCATCGTTAACGACGAGGAAAAACGGGACATGATCGAGCGAGAAATCATCCCACACAGTTACAAGGGCCGTACGATTGGTATTGTGACAGCACGTTCAGTGTTCCGCGAGTTTGGCGCCCTGATCATTGTCGGCGGACGAAGGATCATTGATGACTACGAAGTCGCCAAGGCGCGTGAGGAGGGTGTCGTTGAGGGCGAGCTCGCCGATCCCAACGATATTTTCGAACCGGGCAAGCCTTACAACAAGAACCAATATGTGGCGTGGCACGGTGCAAGCTCAGTTTATCACTCGAATATACCGTCAGTACCACAGCAAAACGCCAAGGTCGCCCCAACCAAACGACGGGTTGCTGTCAACGACGTTAACTGGCAATTGGAACATGCTCGCGAAGCCAGGTAGGCATTCTATTCTTTGGCAGTTTCCTTGCTACCGGACACAGGAACGCTAACATCTCTTCTACGCAGTAACTTCAACAGCATCCTCACCAGCGTCCGGCGCGCCAACCTTAACGGCGTCTATGACATTCACACTAACCAAATGCACTACCCGCACATCATCCAACCTACACATGCCCGCATCACGCAGGTGGTAGACTCTGAAGACGCCTCGTCTTCGTCCTCAGACCTTCCTCCTGTCAAGCCCTCCATATCCCGCAACTTTCTCATCACCGACGTGGAAATCGAGCTGCCACCCGCTGGCATTTCCCCCGCCGCCTACGAGGTACCCTTCCGTACATCGCCCGCCGATCGGGCTGCCTCCGCGCGTGCCGACTTCCTTGCCCCCTTCAAGGGCTTGAGCGCCGTACCTGACGATATCAGGGATCTGCTGCCCGAGGAATGCAGGAAAGCTTTCGACAGTGCAGTGAAGAATGAGGAGGAGTGGTTCGGCAGGTGGGGTGACGAGAAGGATACGACGTGTCGCCGCGAGCCGGTGATCGATAAGGCTATCGTGCCTTATAGTATGAATATCATGTGAGGAGGCATTGTGGACTTTCGACAGATGTCGCGTTTGAAGACCTGTACACAGACATTAGCTTGTTGTTCTGGTTTGGATACAAGCTTAAAAAACGTGATGACCAATGCTCTATTGCATTTGGTCAGTTCAGGCTCAGCCATTCACCTTCCACTAGTCTAGTAGACTGCATTGGAACTGGTATGGACGTGACGGAGAACCACACTGAAAGGGGTTTTCTGGGGATATCTTTATGCTCTCTGTATTTCACTTTCAAGATGATGAAGGTTAAGGGGCCCGGATGACTTGCGATACGCTCGGGCTGGGAGCAACCGAAAAAGGGACAACTGTAACGAAAAGTGGAAACCAGGTTGGTCGTTGGGGAGGTGGTGCTCATGCATCATTGATTTTCCATTTTGTTTTCTCTACTGGATTCATCTCAATGCTTATCGACGGGTCGAGTATCTGTCAGCTGAGCCATTGTGGGTTAGAGCAAGGGAACGGGGAAGTGTTTGGTAACTTCTTGTCTATTTATAATATACCCAGCTTCTAGACATCTTCTCAAGTTTCTCGGTGTACTTCCCATGGTTTCCATGGCTGCGCTGATCAGGGCGATAGGAGATTGGAGATTGGTGAGTTGAACTTCGTCTCACTCATGAGACAACGACTGAAGCTACTGCTGCTGTCCATATCAACAAGACCAAACCTAGGGCCACATCATCTTATGTTGGGTAATGACGATTCGATTTGAGTGAAGTACACATGGCGCTTTAGCCTCGACTGCTATGACTTCTGCTCCCAACGTTGAGTGTCATGACCCTTTACGCCGTCGGCCAAACGTTCATTCCCACTTCAGCAAGATGCAAGTCTCGTGGATTAATACATTCGTTGACGTACCTACGGTCAGTAGCTAAGGGTTCTCAAGGACACTTGGCTGAAGCAATGGTAACACTTTGGTCCTCATAAACGGTAGACAAAGCGCACTGGTGGGGGATGAATAGTTGGCCTACAAGCAACGAGGAACGCCCGATCGGGTTGCTCATTCATCTTAGGTTAGTCCAGAGCAAGGAGACTCCCGAAGGAAGCGGACCGTTCACGTACGGCGAAGATGGAATTGTATAAACAAACTAGCTGCCCAAGTAAACGTTGCCTGTCCTCCTCTGTGCTCTTCATGTGCAACAGATGAACTGATGTAAAGAACATAACTTGAGTAGCTGAAAGTATATCACCTAGTTTCCGTGGTCATTCATCAGCGGCCTGCTCTTCATTTTCACATTCCTCGGTCTTAGATATTCTATCATCCACAGCTATTGTGCTGACCGACTTTGTCGACCGTCTATTTCGTCCCTCTTTGGTGTGTCAACTTTACTGTAGCTCCAGCTGCGGGCGACTTTGACGATAGTCACTTTTACTCTATGTATAAAGGTATAGGCTGGGTAACTATGTAGATGCACCACTCAGACTCCAAGACTCCAGCTAGCAGGCAACTTTGTTTATAGGACTGAACCGAAAGGAAGGCCTTCATTCCGATTAACACTTTGCTATCAAGGGGATGCAGTAGACAACATTGGACATACGTTCACTGGACCAAGCCAGATTGGATGCCTAGACCATGAAAACTCAAAGCTTTCTGCCTAGGCTAGAGGTACGTAAGCTCTGTGAGGTAGTAGCCAGATGATGACGATATCCGCTTTCCTCGTCGTAGCTGTCACCGCTAGGTAACTATCAAATTGGGATTAATATGACAAGTATCTCGCTGCCTATGATGTGCTTGCCATGTATTTATGTCTTTGGCTTTACTTGGGTCATGATGGGCACAACTCGACCGCTCTGGATCTTACCAAACACCTAGCCTAGGGTAACACTCAACTATCCAGTGTCAGCCTAGCCATTTACACCCGTGAAATCTCATGTGCAGTAAGACACACATGAGAATGTCCTCGTTAGAGGTGTGGTGTTATTACCTACCTGGACAGTTCCACCAACCCTTCTGGAGGGAAAGCGGCTAGCTAGTCAATGTTCCCTGGTACACTACCGTGTGACCGGTAGCGAGTAAGTGTCATCTGGCAGGCGAGTATTGAATATCATTTCATTTGGGTCATCGTCAGTTGCGGGAAAATTTTCATTTCTTCGGTGTGATAGAGCTCTCTGCCAGTGCATTGACGTAGAGAGATGGAATGATAAAAGATCTCGATGACGGACAACAAACCATACAGACAACCTGGAACCGGACCGATTCAGAAAAAGTAGTTCCTGAATGAGGGTTTCGGGGGTGTCAATTTAGGGAATACCTGCCCACATTGCCTTTTCTATGTCATTTACTCCAGGTAATCTTAACCGAGCCGAACAGGAACATGCGGTTTGTTGTTGAAATGATCCGATATGGTACATTTCTTCGAGCTTCACCTGAGTTGACTTTGGGGGAGACTTGGCAGGTCCGCTCCGGTCTCCGGAACGGGCAATGTATGGCCGTACCGGTGAATTTGTGCACATGAACGACCTTGAATTATCCTCGAAAGAAAAATCACCGATGATGGGCGAAACAGTGGATCCCCAAGCGTATGTATCACGAACTCGGCCACGCTCGTCATAGCAGTTCGAATGTGTTTTCCTAAAATCGAAAGCCATCTTTTTCATCTTGGCAAACTGGGAAATTGAGTTTGCCACTCGAAGACGATAGAAGTCGAATACGTAGGTCGGTTCGCAGGGTGGGATTTGGTTACTACCGGAACGTGGTTGAGCAACTATACCTTCTCCCATCGTGAAGATATCCGAGCTTGGGCCGGTTTGTGAAACGATGTACTATGGTAGATCAAGGCCAGAAGAGCTTCCCAAATTGTGTCACATCAAGAGTCGTAATCGATGTACGTAACTGTGTGAGTCAATGTACACTAACAGTTGCAAGGCGTTACTTTGTTGATCAGCTCGTCGGTCTCCTCAGTATACCTCACCTTGCAGAGAGTGAGTGCTTGCAAGCTGTCGACGTCTGGCCACGAGGGGAAGAAATAAATTATTATTGCCTACCGTGCCTGCCATCACAACAGGGGCGACGATTACATTCGTGGGGAGAAAAATAAATACATCCAGGGACTACACGTGTACCATGGCATACCTACTCTTCCAGATCAGCATTGTAGAAGGGTCAAGAAAAAGGAAAGGGTTCTGACAAGGACTGCATTACCCCCCCCCTCCGGAAATGGGGTGCGCGGAACCGATACCAGATTTGGTGAGAATTGCAGCCATTCCTGTTAGTGACTCGCCTATCCCATTTCACGGTCACCTACCCTCCTACCACGTCTCTCCCTTGCCCTGCGGGAAGATGCTTCTAGATTGGTCCGCCATTCCAAGACACACACAACGTGGGAAATGAGAGATCAGCTCAACCATCGACCGTTTTGTGCTCCAACACCAAGACATGAGGGTTCTTATGTCTTGCCTGCCGCCTTGGCTAATAGCCTGAACTGGCCCGACTTGTAATTCGATATCTCATGTTGATTACGCCATGAGTTTGGGAATAGGCATCGTCAGCACTGCCTCGTCCCCTTCAATAATGCTGTCAAGTAACGGGTCCAAGGAGGATCACGGTTCCATGACACACCTCTGGATATGTACCCAGCGGATTTTCAAAGGTCAAGTCCCCTGATTTGGTACTAACTCGCTGGTCCCTATCCGCCTGCGGCGTTCCTCGAACGTAATGTAACGTCTACCTACGCAGAAGAGGGGACAAGGATGCCAGGCAGAGAGAAGCCCTCAAAAAGTCAAGCTGCCAGTGATGAAGAGGGTATTGAATTGTGAAGTACCTGCGTGCAAAGCGGAGGAGGAGGGACCTTGATCCGCGCCATCTGGCCTATGATGGTACACATCCCTCTGCAATGCATGTACATAGTGTAGGGTTGGAGGAATGAGTTTACCTTTCCACCTTTGCGCCGTGACTTCCAGATTGCAGGCGATGGAAGCGCCCGATATGACCCCTTCCATGCTACGTAGCAGCGAACTGTGTTTTGTCGGCTGCAGGAGACTCGTACACTGAATTCCCTCCCCCACTTGGACGCCTGGTGGGTTTCTCTAAGTGGTCACCTCATACATATCTGATTCATGTCAACCAACCAAGACCCTTTTGCTTGACTGCCGTTCGCAAGCAAAAAAGTCTTGCTAGCCACGAGGGTACGCAGCAGCCTCGAAAGGGATTAACACATTCGCAGCGAGGCTGTTCGTCTGCAGTACCTAGTACGTAGCGTAAAGTTACAATTTCCCACACAGCGGAAACGTGGGCGTGAAAGAGGTGGCTGCTGATGAAGCTCCTTCCAACTCGGGGTGGGAAGAAGGGCCAGTCCAAGCCATGTCGTGGTGGTGGTGGAGATGATGCCAGTAAGACGGCTATCACATGATGATCACGGACCGGACGGAGACGTCTTCTTGTTGGGAAACCCGAGATTGATAATGTGCGCTACGGCAGGCCACCAGAGTGGTCCACACACAGAGTGTCGTTGACGCACATGGAGGCATCAGGGTCATCTTCTGCCATGTTGTATCGGCCTGTTTTTGGGAAAGAAGAGAAAAAGAGAAAAAAAAAAAAAACTTTCTTCACATCATCGACCAGGTATAACCCGGAATTTCAGGGATTGCCCGGGGGGCCTGGGGTAAAGATGGAGAAAAAGAAGAGATTGCGGCATATAATTTTTTTCTTCAGAGCTTCCTCCCGAGGACCCGATCAAAATCAAAAGCCTCTCGACACGCTACTGTAGCTTCATTTCCTTCGACAGAGTCGCATCTCCGCTTTCCTCTTGGTGAAGGGTTCCTTGTTTCTGCCCAAACCCACCACACCAACGCCGATTCTGGCCAGGTACTGTAACTAGTGTACATACGTACCTCTGAAGAGTTGCTCGTCCGATGAATCCCCCCAAGGACACGGGCGCTCTGATGATGAGCACAAGAGTGACAGCAGTGCCACTTTGTGCTAGAAGGACGTGCGCAGGGAGACCGGCAGCCACCAAACTCGGACACTCGGGGCACACTCTCAGGGCCGGAGAATACTCCGATGAATCTGCAAACGGAAACTTCCGGGCGGAGACGGACGCGGCGTGCAAAGCTCTCAACTTGGACCTCCGGACCAGACCACAAGGGCAGGGGACATTGACGACGACGACACGACAGACGACACGACAATGATTCGTCTTGGCCTATTTTTTTTCGTTCTTTTTTTCTTTTTTTCCCTGGATACGCCCGGTTGGAAAAAGTGCGTCTCGATTCCCCAAAGTGCATCTTCGAAACTGCACACGCCCCCTCCCCGCACCGAGCGCTTTCAATGATTCCGTTGCTTATCGACAACGCCCAAGCATGGTCGCTAGATTTTATAAGCATGTGATCGTTCTGACTGTTGTGAAGCTCCGCGGTGTGTTTTATTGAAGAGCAGTCGATAGGTAGTCTCGAGGCCGCCGCGAATGATGGATATTCAACTCTCGGATTGAATTCTGCCTTTTGGAGCGTCATAATATGAGGGTGGTTTCGGCTGGTTTTTACAGGGTTGAATAGGACAAGGGGACGTCACCATCCAGACCATCACCCACACTCGTCTGGTGTTGGGCACGTGAGGCTATGGTCCCGTCATCGCAGTGAAGACTGAGACCACCCAGTGCTTGCACAGCCAATGACATGATGCACCTCCATCACTGACCTAGAGTTCATCCGGGGGTCTCGGGGTGCTGAAAGAGTTGCTCAACGCCAACGGTTGCAAAGTGAGAATTGTAGTGTAGTGTAGTGTGCAATTTGGAGTGGATAACGTGGCTGCTCTCCAGCAAATGATTAAGCAGCAAGAAAGTCACTCAGAGCCAACTGAGGGTTGCGTTCTGACAACAATGACAGTCATGCATCGTCTGTGCCGCCGCCGCCGGATACCACGTTGTGTAGATTTATTTCCTCTTGAAGAGGCAGAATAGCTCTCGGGCGCATCGTTGACTGTTGATATGGGTTGCAAAGTGCTCAGTGCCTTTGCGTTCCCGGGTGTATGCGATTATATACGAGTGTTGTGCCTGAGTCCTTAATTGCCTGTGCTGCCGACTCTTCACCGTCAAAAAGATTCGAGTTCGGCCAAGCTAGAACGACGAGTTCGAATGATTGACAGCATATGTAATAGCTCTCGGTCTGGTGATTTTACCACGGGCAACTTTGCTGCTTCTTTTTTAGCAGCTCTGGCAGCGCCGTAAAAGACGATGACGGTCATGTCTATACACTTTTTTTTTTTTTTTTTCTCCTCTTGTTTTGGGTTCATGTTGTAGGCTGAACTTACAACACTGCCGGCATCTACTTTATTAGCGTGGTACCGCCACCTCACAATATTTGAATGGCTGATAGTGGGCACACCAATCATCTGCTGTAGGAAAAATAGAGTAACCGCCACTTGCAAAGTTCACCGCGCTAACAAAGCGAATGCCTGCAGAGGTCTACTGCGTACTATGTATGCCCTTGTGACCTACATAGCAGCTATCTGGCGATCAGAGCCACTTCTCCCATACACTACACTGCATTACATTTCATTACTACTGCGTAGTTTGTTTGATAGCGCGGTAACTTTACGACAGAGGTCTACAAAGATCCATAGAAGAATGACGGGAAATCCATTGTCAAACGAAAAGTTGGGTAACGTATAACGCGTCCAAATATATCTGGTTGATACAAGCAGTTTGGTAGAGTGGTAGTTGAGTTGCGTAGTGTAGAGTGCGTGTTGAAGTCTCGCGCTAACGAACAAAACCAGGGGTGAACTGCAATCACCAAGTCGATCTTGATGTGAACATTATTCCTGACTCACTGGTGTGGTGTGAGGTGTGTTGACTGTTGAAGAAAGCGAATCGAAAAGGCTGGAAGGCGTCCCCACTTGTAGCGTAAATGTTCGGCTATGGCCATTCAGAAGTGAGGAAAAGAAAAAGAGCCGGCCGAGACGAATAGAGGCACAGAGAGTCCGGGCAGTTAGCGGAGCTATCGGCCCTTGACCGCTTCTCACAAGATCTCTGGTGCCATTGAGAGCCATGGTGGACGCTGTGCTTTCCTTGTGCAATCCGCTTATGTCTCGCCACAAGGGGGCGCATCCGGAAACTGGGTCAACGCCATTCTCAATGGACATGGGTGTCCCGAGGGGCTGGAGGATTTGGAGAAGTCCCCTGACAAGCCTGCGACTGGCCTTTCCTGGTCTGTTGTCTTCACATTCGAAATGAAAGCCGGTTCCATGACTCGTGCCGGAGAGACGGGTCGTGGTCGTGATGGCCCGGCCCTGAGAATGAGCCACGGTGCCCATGGCTCACCAGTAGTGTACACTACTTATAGATATCATGGTATGGCTATATTTTGGCAGTAATTTGGTCACTGCTCGGTACTCTGACGTCCAAGGACAACCACAGCAGAGAAATCTACTCTGCTTGTAAGGTAGCTCCCGGTTCACGGCGGCGATGATGGAAGAGTTTGGCATACCTCTGTGGGTCTCACACTGCGGATTCAACTCCATTCCGAGGTTAGTCTCGAGTCCAGGCGACCCTGAACCCTGACCAGGCTCTGCGCTGCCCGTGTTCCTGGAAGCGTGTGAAAGTGAGACATGCCTGGTCTTCCTTCGTCAAAGCCAATGTGGGTGGCCTCGGATAGACACAGTGGGCGTAGTGGGCGTGGGTTGGTGGTGGTGTCGGCGCCCAGCGAGCCCAGCCAGTGTAAGGCCAAGCTATCTGAAGATCCCCGTCCCGATGTGGCATTTGGTGGTATTTTTGGACATCAACAGACTCTGGATAGCCAACCTACCATTGTAGGGACATCCACGAGGTCGTGAACCCTTTCTTTTCGAACCGCTTGGATGACTCGTTCTGGTCATCACCGTTGGACAGGCGTTGCAGATGGCCGCCTGAAACGATCGAAATCCAAGTGCTCTAATGAAGGCACTACGGCAGGTGGTGAGAGAGAAGGCAGCCTGTAAATTGCGGAGGACTGAATCCGCTCCACGACGGGGAGAAACCATTTTCGGGTTTAGTAGCACCGTTGATAATTTGGAGGTACTTAGGTACGCTACTCATCTTCAAGCGACAATCGCGGCATGATCACCCTCAAACGAGGGCGGAATCCGAAGAGGGGGGTTGCGCATGCCGTGCTCGGTGTATCACAGCACTTGTGCCCTATAGGAAATAGGAAGGAGCAAGGCACAAACTCTCAAAGGTGCTCCAAGCAGAATGACTGACTGACTGCCTGTATGCTCTTTGGAATACGCGCCGGGTAGTACGCAGGACGACCACAATCATCAAAACTGAATCCAACGAGTACAGAGTTGCAATGGAAACAACATCCAAACGCATATGGAATGGATGCGAAATTGTTCCAGAAACTCCTGTCCTCACCTCATCAAATATTGACATTGACATTTGCACACGGCAATGCGTGTCCTGCGGAATATGTAGCCAGAGCTGGAGAATAAAGTTGAAAGCCCGGGCAGACGCGAAATTGATAGGGCGATACTCTGGACCAAGGTATATGTCCTGGCTTGACATGTCTCCTCGTGGATACCCTGGTGCAATCTGAAATTGGCGAGACGCTGACATGTCAGTTAGCCCCCACCCAGGGCAGTCACTGAACAACGTGCAGACCATGTCAATTGCAGTGTCGGTCATGGAGTTCCATCCTACTGTCGGTCCTGAGCAATCATCAAATTTCGTACCAGACTTGTTACAATTTCAGTAAATGATAACAGTAGCGAAGGACCGGATTTTGCAGATTGCCCCCCACGATGGGACGACGGCTTTGCATCGTTTCTTGGGGTTTTATGTAGTATCGGTATTACGTATTCGAACACATTCGCCACGGTGTTGTTGGGATCGTACACGTGTAGTATGTAAACACTAGTGTAGTGTAGTGTAGTGAACGCGGCAGAGGACAGACGTCACAGGCCGTTCAACCTGAAGTCAGGTACCTGGGCTTTCGCTGGGCTCCTGGGCTGCTGGGGAAAAACACAGACGCAACGCACATGTGGAAAGACAGAAGGCAAATCTAATCAAGCCCGAATAACCGTGTCTCGGATGTTACCTTTTGACATTGATCGCATGAATGACCGCATTGTACAAGCCATGTTTTGTTAGTAGGTAACATGTCAACACAATCAGATCGACCTTTGGCTCTAGTGTAGTCATTTCAGCAGACATTGCCTGCCTTTTTGGAAGCAGCGGGAATGGGACTTCTTCCGTTGCAGCACCTTCCACTCCTTCGCAACTTCGCTATTTTCCAGCAGGCAGTTGTAATTGTGACCAACGGCAGGTGCTCGTCGCTTTTGTCTCTCTTTCCCTTGCGAGGTCCGGCTTGTCTTGGCGCCTCTCCTGCCGCACACCTAGAGTACTCGCCGTGAAATTTTCATCGGTGCCATCGTTCGCTTGTCTGGGAAGGGCCGTCGAAAAAGGACATGATCTGGTCGACGCGAACCCTGGTCATTTCCGTCATTGTCGTACCAAATTGGCTGCGCTGGAAGCTACCTACAGTACCTACAGATGCACACTCTATCCCATCTCGGTCCAGAGGACAGGGCACGCACCTCCACGATGCACTGCGATGCACTTCGGTCGATTTTTACGGTGCAGTGGTAATCAGTAAGTACTGTGTATCCGAGGCCGTGTAATGTAGTGTAGAGATTCCCACGCAAGTGGTTAGGTTGAGATCTACGGCGGCATGCAGTTGTTTGAGCAGAGGCCCGCGAGATCTTAAGCTTGAGTAGGTACTTGGATCCCATTTCCAAGAGGTCATCACTGTGGCGGTTTCAAAACTATCCCACCATCTTGTGGTCAGCTCAGTTGCGGCGTGACGGTCTCCCGACTTTCACCTGCAGTGCCTACCTACACTACCTCTGTGCATCTGCACTACGAGTGTGCCGGGTTTTGCGGGCACGCAGGAGGTAACAGCAACGAAGTGGAGGTACGGTACTGTATCGAGATCCATCCAGATTACACTGTGGTGTGGTTCCCGTCTGCTCCGTCTGCTTTCCATCCATTCTGCTTGACTAGCGCATCTGCCGAACGGACCACTCAAGCGTTGTTCTTTTTCATCCTTTTGCCGGGTCTTCACTGCTCCACTCGCCCAACGCTTTTGCCATCCACTTTGGCAGCGGATCTGTCGTCGCCCTCGTTCGCCTCTCTCTTTGGCTCCTGATGACATGTGCACGAGCCACTGTGGATCACGACTAGCGTCTGGCGTCTTGTCAAAGGCAGTTCTGGCAGGCCATTCACTTCAATTTTACCACCTCGCAGCCGGCCCCGTCGCGCGCAGGTTTGAAGGTTTCGATCCAGTTAGTCAGTCGCAGTCGCACTCTTGTCGCAACTGAACGAGTCGACCCGGGCAGTGCACTGACCATCTAACCCCCCCGGTCTAGCGCCCGTCTTTCTCAACCTTTCATTCACGATTCTTTTCTTCCTCTTCCACCTCTCTCTCTTCCTCTCTTCTCGTCGTCGTCACGCCGTACTTCACGTCTCTTTTTTCTTCCCTCCTCCCCTCCATCGCTGCCGAATCCGCCGGGGATCCCGCATACCGACGAGCGACCAATTCAGTTTTGCGTCGTTCAAGAGAGGATTTGGGTGCATTTCAACTCTTCGCTGTTTTGGGTCGAATAACGAAGAGGCGCCTTTGCAGGAGTGGTTTTTTTTACGGCCAGGGTGCGCTCTCAGTGTTTTGCCAGTACTAGTGGTATCCAGACCCTCGACGTCAGACTCAGCACGGCATCATCGGACAAGTCGACAAGATCACCCATCATCACTGGAGGACATTGTCACGCCGTCACCGACCTCACCTTAAGATCACAACGACGGTACCTGTCATCTTCACGTCCGACTTCGTCTTCACAGGTTAGTGTCTACATTTGTTCTCCAAGAAGTCCAGTTTTTGGTCTTCTTCTGCCGCCGAACTTCAATTTGGAGTCCGCTTCACGCCGTCCCCTACCACGATTACACACTTTTCCACCAAATGCAACTTGGCCATGGAAAACTAACTTTGCCTCGAATAGCTCCTACACATTCTCTTTTCAACGAGACCTAATATTCCGGCATCTTGCATACCGGATACAGACCCCTTGAGTCCAGAGATTTTTTTCGGCCTTGTTGATTGGATCACGACGACTTCTCCTTTGCTTCGCGAACAAAAAGGTCTCTCACTAGGGATCACTTGTTGGCTGCGGGCATTTTCTTTGCGACGACTCAAAACAGTCTGGTTTTCTTTGAACTGATTTCTCACGACCCTTTCGACGACTTATGGCCAGACTGTCCCACTAGATCTCGATCATTCTCAGCATTTCGAGATCCTCTCCCCTTTTGAGCCTTGGGATTTTATCCGGCTAGTGATATCTCCGTTATATCCAAGCTCTGATCCCGGATCCGTCCATCTTTCAACGCATTCTCACTTTCAAACTCAGATTTTCTGACTACCAACCGCCAAGATGCCCGGAGGTGTTTGCGCCGTTCTCGACTACGAGGTCGAGTTGATGGCCGATTATGTTTCTGAAATGGCTACTCGAATTGTCATGCCGCAAAACGCCGTCAACACCGCCTTCAGGAAGTTTGTGTCACAGATTCTCACTTCCACTCGGCTCCCCAGCACTACCATCCTTCTCGGCATGAACTACCTTGCCAAGCGCGTCAACATGATGAAGGCTAACGGCCAGACCACCCATTCCGAAGGTCAAATCTGGCGCATGTTGACCATCTCACTTTTGCTTGGAAGCAAGTTTCTGGACGATAACACTTTTCAGAACAAGTCCTGGTCCGAAGTGAGCGGGATTCCCGTCAAGGAGCTCAACACTCTGGAATATGAGTGGCTCGGTGTGATTGGCTGGCGGCTGTATGTCAACCTCGATGAGAGTGAGGATTACAATGCCTGGCTGGCAAACTGGAAGGAATGGTTGGAGGCGAAGAAGTTGCAACAAGCTCAGGCCAACCGCGAACGCTTGGCCTCCCTTGTGCCTCCTATCAAGACCGACATTTCCCGATCTCGGTTCTCCTCGGCTTGGGAGCAGAAGCAGATTGCCGAGTATGAGAAGCTATCGAGCATCAAGCGCAGCCAAACCACTCACGTTGCTTATTCTCGCCACGAGCAGTCCGTGTGGGGTCATTGGTCGCAGCAACAGGCGCCGTTGACGCCTCCCGACTCTGGATACGGAACGCCCGAGTATGTCAACTCGGCGACATCGGTCAATTCCCACTACAACGAGTGGTTCGATAGTGCGGTTAGGGACCATTGCCAGGCCTCTCGGCAATACCAGCAGCCTGCGTCATATAACTCGTTCTATCGCGGCCTGTCCAATCGTCACCAGAACAGCACTTCGGGGTACTGGAACTACACCCACAATGTTTGGGAGCATTCCCTTTCCGGTGATTGCAACTGCGCTACTTGTGCTGCTACGGACAACTCGCCTCCATACTTCATGGGTCACACCTACGGACAGCCGGTTGTTGGCTAAATAGCCAAGGACACTTGCGACACGGTTTCGACGATGCCACGAGTTTTGGCGTTTTGAGTGATTATACAACATCCGCAGCCTTTCATCCAAGGCTGTGCTTTCTCACTGCATTTTCATCTGGTGCAGGTTCCTTTACAGGCACATGAGAGAATTGATACATTGCATTCAGATACCCCGATCGACGAATGGACCGGTTCGTTTGAAAAGCCCAGAAGACCAGACTCCTCCAGATTCTGTTCCTAGCGAAATTCCCACCTTTGCTCGCTCCATCTCGCATGCTTGAGCGGAGAAGCATTGCTACGGCATGGGATGGGCAGCCGCAACGTATTTACATACGCGGGATACAAACTTTCACGCTTCCATTCGTCATTGATTAATGACTTTCGTTTTCTTCCTCGGTATATGGTTCGGTAATATTCATAAACCGGCGTTCTTGGATTCCTAAATCACGGGCTTTGTTCAAATTCGGCATAGATTCAACAAAAGTTTTTCATCTTTTCTTCCAATACACAAGACGGGCGGTTTGCTTCCGCATCGACAGCCACCTTTTTTTCCCCGGCCCATCAGCGTCGACTCGGGTTGCGAGATTCAGCATACACTGAAATCAACGACATATTCGCATCAATGGGTTATACCTGTTCGAGAGATGCGATGTGGTCGATGTCGCGACAGCCCACAACAAGCATTGCCCGACTTGTTTCAGCTTGAGTAGCTGACATCACCTTGGGTCGAAGTCACTTGCACTCGCTGGTTATTTATGGTTTTCTTCCTGGTTCTTTGCGTTTTCTGCATTCACAAAAAGGGTCGTCTGGTCCACCGCAGCTGGTCAGTTACATAAGAAGGCCATTCTTCGCGCGGCGTCACCTATCAAAAGTACATTCGAGGCCTTACATATATCAAAAAAGTTCGGAGGTGGGCATGGTACAATTCTTTTTTTCTACTTCTTCTTTCCGTTTCTTCTTGCCCATCAGGGTTTGGTGCGTTTACAGGATTGGGGTTCATGAGGTCGGAAAAATCAAGATGAGGCTGCTTTGCATTTTTGCGGAAAAAAGGGGGCTCGATTGCTGTTTTATTCTTGTGTGTCGTTTTCTACGTTCAACACCACATTCTGGGTTGCACGTCGAGTCATTTATCGCTGCATGTCAAGGGTGGCCCAAAGACTTGCCTTCTGTCGATACTCGGCGAACACCTGGACAGCGTTTACGTTGTCTTTCTATTTACCATGACTATGGACTTAGATGGTGGCTGTTTTCTTTGACTTTGGTGTTTTTTTTTCTTTGTTTT